AATGATAATTTTGCAAAACTTCCTATGGTCTGTGGCTTTTGAAGCCATCTCTCTACTTTTGCAGCTGCTCAAAAATCAAAATCTCACGAGTTTTTCTGTGTGTTCCTGTGCAACTCTGACGAGGACTGTGGTGTGTGATCCTGTTCCGAGAACAGTGTTCTTGAGTCGTGTTCCTGCTGTTCGAGCACGAGAACACGAAACCCGTGTCGAGAACGGACTGCCCGAACTCGACCTACGAGGCCACAGTTTCATTGTCGTGATAAATTAATTGGTAGTCATTGTGCATGTACATGTTAGCTTTTGACCTACATGTACATGTACGTGTTAACGTTTGACCTACATGTACATGTACATGTTAACTTTTGACCTACATGCACATGTACATGTTAACTTTTGACCTACATGTACATGCACATGTTAACTTTTGACCTACATGTACATGTACATTAACTTTTGACCTGCATGTACATGTACATGTTAACTTTTGACCTACATGTACATGTACATTTAATTGTACCGGTACGGTATAAGGGGGGTCGAGCATCAAGGAATATCGGTTATGTCGCATTGTGGTTCGGCTTTGTATAGTGCTCAATCATTGAAATACTGCCATAACTTGTCTACAGCTCCATCAATTCTAACATTCTTACGTCCTTCAAAATCAACCCGGCAGACTTACAGCATTTTGGAAGGACGCAACAAGTGTGTGCAGTATTTTAGTGAATCACTCTTCGGCTGTGTTTAAAACGTGGGCACTGTTGTATGCGGCTATGGCTGTTTTCCATGAAGTTGCTGGCCCAAAAAATCCAAGCCGTAGCCAAAGCATGACCACTTTGGACACAGACTCTGCATGGAAATTGATGTTCCACCTTTATGTACAGAGAATGTTGCTCTTGCCACTAAATTATCGAACTGTGTGTGGATTCAGGAAGCTGCTTAGAAAAAAAAATGCTTGTCATAGTTCAGAATTGATGTCAGATCTATACTTCTGTGTTGAGTTGTTGTTAGGGTTCAAATTGGAATGATTTTTCATTCGGATAAGGTCTTCCATGTACATGTACACATACATGTATGTCCGTCACAGTGAACATGGTGATTTGATTAAGTATGGTTCCTAGTAAAAAGGCCTAGGGGGTTAATTAAAGAGTGGTAAGCATCTTGGATTTGTGTGTATATATATTTAAAGTGGAGCCAAGTAATTCGGACACAGTCTGAGTATTGTTAAAGATGAAAAGCCCAAAGTACCACATTTGATGTTTGGATTCATGCGTTTTGCATTGCAGAATAAACTTTTGGAGGAAGGGGAGAGCTATGCCGTCAATCTGTACACATGGAGAAGCTGCTCCAGGGCTATGCCCGCTGTGAGTTACTTTGTCACATTCTTGGGTCAGGTCCTCTTTATAAATCCTCACATGTCCTCACAAGTCCTCACAAGTCCTCTCAAGTTCAGTCGCTAGCTGCGACAAAGGCATATACTCATTGTCCAGCTTTCCCTGTCGCTCCTGACTGGACCCAGAATTGATTTGTGATGGACATTGCTGTACATGTACATGCGTTTGATATCAACAAAAAAAATTGGAAGATTTTTATGGGATGATCCTTCTAGATTTTGGATAGATCTGACTGATTGAATATCTTACATCCTCTTTTTTAAAGCTTCAGCAGGATATCTGCCCTGCTAGTGTTTGTCATGATCTTGAGTGCTAGCCAACAAGGATGTAAAGAGCCGGATCTCTTAACATGAGTTTGATGTCATGCGGACATGTTGGATGTGGCACAAGTTTAAAATCTGCTAAGTGATGCCAAGAACGTTGAAGAGCAATAAAATCAGCACAGTAGAAAGAAAAGTACAAAAGTACTCTTTGTCAACCCCCGACCTTGAAATTTCTTTCACTGAAAGTCCCTAGGTTTATAATGAGAGTAGAGTCCAAAAAGGATGGGACATAACGAGTGTGAAGTACAGTGGAATCAGAGGTACGCTACCAGAGAGCCCAATAGGTTGACCTGAGCTTACCCCACCAAAGATTACATACAGTGATATACTGGGCCTTCTGAGTCATGTACAGGGTACACTCCACACAGGATTGGTACTTTGAAAGGCTTTGCAAGTGTGTGCCATCTTTTGTAGGCGAGAATGAAGAGGGTAGATTTGGAGAGTATTAAATGGTTGTGGTATAGACCTTTTTCACCCACGTGACTAAATGTAAACAGTATCACCACGTGTGGACCGTCCTGGCCACGGTGATTGTATATTTTCCTACGGGCAGCTTCAACCACGTGCAAGCGCACATGCGAACGCTGCATGGTTGACCAGTTTATCTTGAATAAGTAGATTACCATCACAACACTATGCACTCATTACCATCACAACACATCAAAGGTCCAGCACAATCGTGACATCACAAGAAAAAGGTCTATAGGAAGGCTAACGCTCGCTCATCTCCTTCACATGCCGACAGATCAAATCCAATGACCAGAGCAACAGAGTGGAGATCTATCAGAAGTTTGTGGAGGTCATTGAGCCGGAGGTCACCAAACTGGTCAACTTCATGTACTTCCAGGTATGTAGCGCTCTGCGTAATTTGCAACCGCGCTTCTTACGACATGTCAGTGCAGTTACTAGAGAATAGTGCATAACTGCGAACTTACATGCATGAAAGAATAATGCTTTGGTGTTGGATGGTTTAGCACTTTCGAGTTTCCTTTAGGTGTAATTTAACCCCACCCACTCCCTCCCCTTCTCTACCCGTAGCAACGAGCAATTGATGCCTTTTGCCGGGACGTCAAGAGGCTGTGCCACTCAGAGAAGAAGAACGACTTTGTGTCTGAGTCCTACCTGCTGACGCTGGGCCGGCTCATCAACATGTTTGCCGTGCTGGACGCCCTCAAGAACATCAAGGCCAGCATCAGGAATGACTACGCCGCTTACAGAAGGTATTCACACGTAACCCTCGGCCTCTCAAAATGATGTCGAGACAGTATCTGCCTGCAAGTGTCATTCAGTGACTTGATCAATCAATCAGTGCATCAGTTGTTATGTTGAGTTAGTTGAAAACTTTCAAAGGCGTCTCCCGAAGAAGACACCAGAAGGTATCTTTAGAAGGTGTCTGTTTGAACAAGAGCACTTTACAGATCTATGCATGTCCTCAACACTACCAGCAGCGTATTTTTTGTGTTCTTTGGTGATGCCAATGTATTCGATTTATATTACGAAAGCCTTTCATTTCCTACGAGTATACTCGTAATGGTGGAATCTGGTACACCTGGGACTACGAGTTTACTCGCAGTCGGCAGTCAGTGTGTTAACCCTAAAATGTTGAACAATGATTGACCTGGGCAAGTCTGTGCATGATTTCATTTATGCCATGCACTACACGTCACATGTTTTGTCTTTTTGCCCAGAGCCGCCCAGTTCCTGCGGGTGATGGCTGACCCACAGGCCTTGCGCGAGTCCCAGGAGGTGGTCATGTTCCTGGCCAATAACGACAAGATCACGCAGACACTCAAGGAGAACCTGGTCAAGATCGACGGCTACGAGGAGCTGTTGATGGACATCATCAACCTGTGCGTGGAGATGTATGAGACCCGGCACTATGTGGTGCCCAGCGAGAAGCACATGCTGGTCAAGGTTGGTCAGGCAGAAGACATTTGCCTAGCAAATTTATGTGCTGAGCAATTATTGCGTAGAGAATTTTATGTGCTCAGTAATTATTGCTGTGGCAAGTTTTATATGCGTAGCAATTATTGCTCAGCAAATGTTGTATGCTTAGCAATTAATGGTCTGCCAAATTACAAGTGCTCAGTGATTATTCTTGACTTAGAAAGGCTGGTTCGTAGTTCGTGCGAGTGAAAAAGTGAAGCAGATTCGATGTCACAAAACATTTACAACTAACTTCGTTTGAGTTAAAATGTGTCCAACTTTGGCAAACTTGCAGCCTGAACCTTTGACCTGATGCCTTCGTTTTCACTTTTGAGCCAACTATGAACCGGCCTCAAAAGGCAAAATAAAAAACAAATAGTTGTTCAGCCATCGAAATCGTTACCCCAAACCTTCAACCCTCAACCCTGACCCTAATGCTGAACCCTCCCCTTCCCAAGTCGGTCCCAATCCCAACTCGACCCCCATTCACGCGGATGTGCTCTTGGCACATCTTTACTCATTACAGGTGATGGCCTTTGGCTTGTATCTGTTGGACACCAAGGACATGGTCAACATCTACAAGCTGGATCAGAAGAAGAAAATTTGCCTCTCCAGAATTGACAAGATATTCAAGGTACGTCTGGAAATACATGCAGTGAAATTCATTCCTGGTAAACTTTCTTTTGAGATCAATGATAAGTTCAGAAATTTGAAGGATTTATCCCAAAGTGGCTAATATTATGTATTAAACTGTTCTCTCTACTATAGAATGATCTTTAATGTCTGTAGACATAAAAGTACATCACAGTCTATCGTTGTCAATGTATGCTGTAAGAATACGGAGTTTCGAGGAAATTTGTAATTTGATAAATGCATTTACCTTTTAGATATACCAATTTATAAGAAATAAAAACTTTTTAAGCACTGCTGCAAACTGCTTACTTTCTTGGACTGCTCTGAATTGTATAAAGTGTAAAGGTTAGATGATGGGACTTTTTGATCACAGCAACATCTTTCTCAAATTCACTGTGAAATTTTGATAGAATTAGTGGCTTTGCTGGTCCACAACTCTTCTTGAAAAGGGCGCTTAAGTCCAGTAAAGCCTTCAAAGATATCCCCTCTTGTGTTACATGTTGCATTTGTTCCTTTTGGCCTCCCTTTTCATCCCTGTAGCAACTGGAGGTGGTCCCCCTCTACGGCGACATCCAGATCCCTGTCTTCTCCTACATCAAGAAGAGTCCCAACTACGAGGCCCACAAGTCGGTCTGGAGCTGCGACTCGGGCAACACCTCCCAGTACAACCTGCTTGAGCACCTGGTGTCTATCCGGGAGGACCACACCCGCTACATCAGCCAGCTGGCCCGACACAGCAACAAGGTTAGGGGAGGGGAAGGGAAGGGTAGAGAAGGGGTCACAGAATGGAATAGGGGGGTAGAACTTGGCTTGAAAAAGCAACAGAATAGCCCGGTGTCCCAAGAGTACCTGCTTATACTCTGAAGTGGCAGTGTACCGGGCAGTTTATCATATTATGCAATTTTCTTGGAAATGGTTTCCTGCCGGTCTGGTGCAGCAACACAGTAGTGGTGTTGGAGAAATCACTGGATTGGGACAACGGTAACCACGTTGCATAGCATGGAGTAATTTTTTTAATACAAGGAATACATGCCACACTAAAGGTCACAATACATGTTGCTTTAAGTCTAGTATTGTGTCATGATGTTGTAGATGAATACTTTTTAAGTACTTCCATCTCAGAAGCGAGCTCTAGGCTACTGATACACGAATGTTGGCGCAGAAAGCAGCTTGCTAAAAACACTTTTGACAGGATTTGTAATGAGCAGTGAAAATGGACCGATGTTTGAATACAGTGAATGTTTGCCACACTTCAGCTTGTGATCCGCCTGGAAATAAATGTGTTGAGCCCCCTCTATCTAGATTTGCATCACCCGAAGAACGAAAGTGGTAACAGTTGCACCCATTACTGACGTGACTTCTGTCTTGTCTTTGAATTTAGGAAGTGACCACCGCATTGAAAGACACCAATCGTTCAGAGGCGGAGAACAAGGCACTCTACAGCCTGGCGCTGAAGGGGCTCTGTCTGCTCTCCAAGTGGACCTCGCTCGTCACTGAGCTGGTATGCAAGTCATTCTGTCAAAAAGTACAGTCAACTCTAGTTGCAATAGCGTTGCAGGGACCGGACCGATTACTTTGTTAGAACCAGTGCTTTTATGAAAGGAGTGGAAAGACAAACAAAACCACCAGTAGTTAAGCAACTTGGATTAAAAAAAATCTCAGTCTTTATTACTGTACTTTGTTGTGACAATGTTCTTCATGTAGAGAATGGGCTGTGTTATTTCCAGTGGAAAGGTAGCCTAAAATGAATTTGAAAACTGTCTGATACCAAAAAGCCATGCCGCTGAACCAGTCAGTAGCTACGTGATCTATGCATATAACATTACATGAAATGGAGTGTGCTTTGCTGTACATCAGAATTGGGGTTCGCATCGACCCTAGCCTTTGCAAGATCTGCCGATCTCTACTAGGAGGTCTCACAAGATAAATTTAAGTCTGCTGCTGATAGGATAGAGCCTGGCAATTCTGATGCAGCTTGATGCCAATTATAATATGCTATGGGGGTTCTTGTATAGTGGAGACTTTTTTGAGGATTTTTGGGAGGTCCTCAGTAAAAGAGCTTTTACGGAATGAGGGTCAGTTGTCACTGTACATGCCAAGGGGTGTCTCACTCTTTGCCTAAGGCAATAAAGTTCCGCTTTTGACAGTCGGAACCTTCATTCCGGCAGTAATTTTGATTGGCTGACTACCCTTTTCTCTCCACCACCAACTTCAAACATTTTCTGGTATCCGCCCCGAGTTGAAGTGCACCCCCAAACGGCAAAAGAAAGACAAATAGTTGTAAGTTTTCCAAGTGGGTTCTTGCAGGCGCTCTGCGTGTACGCAAAGACCATACATTAAGGAATAAATTCGTTACACATACTCAGCGTGCTCTGCGTCAAATGTGCCATTGACCTCCATTATAAATGCGTGCCTGTTTGGTGAGTACCAAAAAAAACCATGCCCTCTTTTGTTGCGCTCGGAGCGGATTGATAGCTTTCATCCTTTCCAATTGCAAATTCTTAAAATAATCTCTGTCTATGTATTCACTGTGTTGATGGATTTCAAACTCTCCTCCAGTTTTCGTGGAAACTCATCCATCCCGCTGACAAGCGCACCAATCCCAAGATTCCTGACACTGCTGAGGAATACGAGAAGGTGAGATTTATCTTTTGAACTTGTTTCATTCTGTTATCCGTTGGTTTAGAAAAGAAATATGAATTGTCCATCTCATTTTCTTGGACGGTTCATTCTTTGAAGTTTATCCTTTGATGAATAATCGCTCTTATGGAAAGTAGGGTTTGAAGTCTTTTCCAGGACTTCGGCTTTTATGGGGTCTCTAAAATCAATCTTGGCCATCCTGTACTGGTTGTTGAATAATGTGTGTGATATTGTGAAATAATGACCTACTTAACACTGATTCGATTCCTGTGATCTTGAATCATGTACAAATTGGAGAGTAAGTCCTGTGTTCAATCCTGAAGCAACCTTAACATTTTTTCCCAGATGTTGTACACATTACCATCGATCTCTTCAGAAGTTGTTATTGTCTAGCCATGGAGTGTTGCATGCCAAATATTGACTCCAAAAATGGACTCAAATCCCTGTTCAGTTTATGGGTCTTGCCTAGTTTTGTTTTTTTGCACATGCCCTTTAAAGTGCTCATTGTCTGGCTTAAAAAGCCCAAAGGCTGAACTTCTGAAGGAGAGCATCAATAGTAATTCTCTGAACAAGAATAGAACTTGTACTCGATGAGTTTTTCCCCACAATCCAACTTCGTTGCTGGCAGGCGACGCGCTACAACTACAGCAGCAGCGAGAAGTTCGCCCTGATCGAGGTCATCGCCATGATCAAAGGGCTGCAGGTGCTAATGACGCGCATGGAGAGCGTGTTCCAGGAGGCCATCCTGCGCACCACCTACGCCGAGGTGCAGGACTTCACGCAGAAGACCCTGCGCGACGCCCTGCGCACCGCCGTCAAGAAGAAGAAGAACCTTATCAAAACGTAAAGTGGACAGTGAATATGTCTGATAGTGTCGTTGTCAATTACTTAAACTTTACAAATACTTCACAAGTTCTTGACAAGTACTTCACTAGTTCTTCACAAATATTCCAGTTCTTCAAGTATTCAAATTATATGTGATCCACCATCCCAAAACCGGGCTGAAGTACGTAACTCCATAACCTTAAGATAGTGGAACTTCTGCTGTTCAGATTTTTATGGGAGTTTTACAGCTATCACTTCCCGTAAGAAGCTTACTGCAGAGAGAATTTTGATTTAACGTGGATCACTTTGAAGTGTAAAGGAAAGCTGAAGGAGAGGAATTGTCCCACATCACAAATACCGACTTCAGCCTGGTTTGGGGATGGTGGGTCACAGGTCACATATCACAAGTACCGGAGTCTCCATGAAGGCCACAAGCTTCTCATCATAGAACTGAAACGGAACCGTCACAATACCAGAACAGAACTGTTCCTCTGTTTTTGTTCACCTGCCTGTGGCAGTTCTTGTGGTGACCAGCATACTGTTTTTAAATGCCTTTTATCCATTGTGGTTCTATTCTCATACAATATATTTCTCTATTTCTTTATATTTATCAACTGATTAATAATAGACCAAACCAAACTATTGGAAAGTGTTACTGAAGTACCCGTTTACTCAACTGCAATTTTTTTGCAGTGTATTGTTTGAATGCAATGAATCCCGTTGTTTTGGTGTGGTTTCTTTTTAAGAAATGAATATACAGAAATCAGGTTGGGCCCTTTCCAGTGGGGTTTGTGGTAATTGGTAATCTAGCAGTGTTTAATTTGACCTGTTGAGTATCATTAATTTGACCTAACGAATACCCAGGAGTTTTTTAAATGCTGTGGACTGTAATTTGAAACTTGAAAAAAGGAAATATTCTCAAAGTAATGACTGTTCGCAGGATCATCCGTGCGGTGCGCGAGACCTGCTGTGACTGGGTCAACGGGCTGGAGCCCAAGGACGACCCCTGTCTGAAAGGGGAGAAAGACCCCAAAGGAGGCTACACCATTAAGGTGGGACGGAGGACGGTTGGACCCTCTAGCACGCAGGTGATTACCCTTTTGGGTTTGTCAGTAACCTCATTCCCCGAAGAGTATTTTCCCAGAAAGTGGAATTGGCCTGTTCTAAAAGAAAGTAATAGTGCCCCACATTTGAAAGAAGAAGAAAGTTGTAAGTGGATTATTCCAAAAAATGATTAGAAATAACAATAGGGTCTGCTCTTTTGACGTCACAGTCGTGTTTTTTCCTACAAGTGGCTGCTAAATCTGTGGCTGGGCAAAAGTAAAACAATAATTCACAAGATGTTGGAAATCCCATGCAGCTATCAGAACTCCAGATAAGAATACGTCTACTACTCAGTACTAAATGAAAATACAATCCTATGATCACGCCTATTTGATATCAATGAGACAATTGTCCATTTTGAACAAATTGGAGCTAAAACTGAGTACCAACCAAATGGTGATATTTCTGCCAACTTTGGCCGCCTATACAAGTTACAGGCAAAGTGAGAGTGTTCTTTAGGATTTCAGTTGTTCTGGAGATTTGGGGGTTTGTAAATACTGCTTGCTCTGTAAAGCAAGCCATAGTTTCACCAAGCACTTTTTGATGGATCAAACAGAAAAAAATGACCGAATAATTTATACATCGGTTGATGCATTGAGTAACTGTACAATTTGTGTGTTAGTTGATGAATCAAAGTAACCTAACAGAGCACATTCAGTGGTCTGTGTGAGCAGTTCAGCTACCGTTGTGGTCAAAGACTGTGGCACCGTGCACAAACTTTTACCAGTGGGCAAGCCCCCGAAGCTTTTGAAATGGCAAAAATGTAAGGGAAAAATGCAGAGCCAGCACCCAGTACATGGCACACAAGATGATCATTATCTCTAACACTCCTCAGTCCTCCAACAGGTGAAGGATTGAGGAGTGTTAGGGTTAAGCTATTTGATTGAAAAAAATTGTTTTCTGTGGAATTGAACTCTACTGTCAAGACACTTGCCCACAGTAGCGGTGGCCCATCTTGGGGAAACCACATGGTCAAGTGATACTCTGACGTCTCTGGATTGGACCCCCGTGTACTTGAAGGCCTAAAACAATGTAACTGTTCTTTTGGGTCTGCTCCAATCAGCTGTACATGATGCGCACCATGCTGGAGTCACTGATAGCCGACAAGGGAGGTACGGGCAAGAAGACACTGCGCAAGGAGCTGGACGGACCCTCCCTGGAAGCCATTGATGACTTCCACAAGAAGACCTTCTTCTACAAGCATCTCCTCAACTTCTCAGGTGAGCCCTCTCTCTCTCTAGTCTCTTTATTTGATAGAAGTTGGGAGTTTGCCTATCCCCATGTGAGTAAAGGAATGAAACATTTTCCCCACGTAGGGAACTGACGATGAGGGAAAATAGAGCGGAAGTGAATGAAGCAAAATTTCAGAGTTTACATCTTCAGAGAAAATTTCTCTGACATCACGTCCCGTTCCCAACTTCGATAGCATTTCACGAAGGTAGCATCGATTCAAGGTTTTAGAAAAAATGAAGTTCATACTGCGTCATTTTCAGTGTGAAAAAGCACGCAAATTTACTTGAGTCTACAAAAGACTAAATGGGATTGGTTCACTTTTAGCCTGTCCCCCTTGGCAACAGTTGCACTAGCGGTACCCATGGCCCAATTTATGGGCTACTTTACGGTAACTTCTCTGATGTTGAGAACGTTTTTAAGGGAAATTTTAGAAATAAAAACCAGGCTGCATCATATATGCACAAAGGTTGTTGATGAAAGTGTTGGGTGAAATACCATTGACAGATCGACATGCATCTATGAAGTTTCCTGTTTCCTACTTTATTATTCCTTGGATTAAGTTTTAATGTCAGAGATCTCAAGTACCCTTGATTTATATCAGGAGGGTACCCAGTTCCCACGTTACCTGCAAATGAACACTGCTCGTTTATACCACTGTGAACATTTCGAATCATTTGAAACACTTTTGTTGGGGTTAGAGAGATCGGGTGAGATTTGTTACGTTTGGGTTTTCACCATCGTTCACTGCAGAGACACTCCAGCAGTGCTGCGACCTGTCTCAGCTCTGGTACCGGGAGTTCTTCTTGGAGATGACCATGGGAGAGCGAATTCAGGTAAGACTTGCCAAAATACGGGCGTGGCCAGACTTATTTTGATGACATTGTTTCGACAGAAGTTGCTGATGGCCTATGACATAGTAGTAATCAAAAAAGGAAGAAAAAGACAACGTGTATCACTGGGTGGTTAGGGGCTGTTTTCAAGGTGGGCGAACTGAATGCTACTGAGTACTAGGCACCAGTGTTCACTTGCTTGTTGACACTTACCCTTGTAAGTATGATGATCAGGAATGACGTATGGGGAGAGTGACCTTCCCTTGTTCTGACACAAGTGCCCTGTGGATAAAAGACAGAGTTCCTCCCCCCAACATGTTTGTTGCGATATCGGTGCAATGCATGCTTTGGCACAAAGCCATCCTGGAGTTTTCTTATCACAAAACGCCCATTATTCTGAAACAGCTCAGCCAAAATTAAAGTTTTCCAGCTGATGTGTGCTCAATGCATGCAGGCCGGCACATGTGTCAGGGCATGACTTATGTATAACCATAATGATAAAAACTCCATACTGGATTGAATTGAAATGCCACAGACGAATTCATAACGAACGTCTTCACCTGCGGTTTCAGCGAGATCAGACATCAGCCATTTGGGACCTCGGTCTTCTAAATAGAGTTATATGAACTTTTTTTGTCACACCCAGTTCCCCATTGACATGTCAATGCCGTGGATCCTGACGGATCACATCTTGGAGACCAAGGATCCCGCTATGATGGAGTAAGCTTACAAAGCACCTTTTTGAATATGCGCTTTTCCTGTTGCAATCACATCCATGGTTCTTGAAGCAAGTTTGAACCGAAGATGGAGAACTTCACCGTGAATACTTGTAAAATGTTGTAATCGCATAAGCGCCATTTCAGCAAGCAGTACACCTGCACAATGCACATTAATGCACGGGTGCAGGCGCCGCGGCAGGCACGTACACCTGGTGCGCCTGCACCTAAGCATTACCGTGAACCGTGCAGGCGTATCGCTTGCTCAAATGGCGCCCATGGCAATTACACCTTTTGGGCAGAGTTATCCATCTTGCGCCTTCGGCGCTATACGATCTTTGGTTTGAACTGATTTCTTCTTTGTGTACTATCTGTAAGTCTAGACTCGCAGTCTAAACAGTAAAAAGTTGGTGAGGTTTTCAAAGTGGCATCATGCATTGTTACTACCCTTTTTCGTTGCCTGTAGGTACATCCTGTACCCGCTGGATTTGTACAGTGACAGTGCCCAGTACGCCCTGACGAGATTCAAGAAGCAGTTCCTCTATGATGAGATTGAGGCGGAGGTATGTCAAACTAGATAAAAAGAAGAAAAAAAGAAGAAAGAAACAGCCATAATCCTTGAGGTTCCAAAAATTAGGAAGGAGATGGTAGACGATTTTGTCGAAGTCCTGTCGGATTTAGTCCATTGGAAATGCATGTTACATTTTTAATACAGGGTTCCTGTATTGTAATTTCGCCAATGCGTATGCTTTTTACTGTAATGTTTACTATTTGGCAAATATTTTTGCAGTTCTCAGTGTCTGTCTGAAGTGATCAGGCATTGAACAATTGATGACACCAAAAGATCAATGCATCAACATCCACTTTGTACGTTTCTGCCGTCTTTCTTTAGGTCAATTTGTGCTTTGATCAGTTGGTCTACAAACTCAGCGACCAGATCTTTGCCCACTACAAGGCCCTGGCTGCAAGGTACGATACCATTTGGAAACAGACCTCTGCACAGCTTCTGAACTGGGTCTATTGCTTCAGAAGGTTTTGTGTAAAGATGTACCGTATGATATCTGGGCTGTTTTCCATTAGATTTGAAGTAATAGTTTCAAGTGTGGGTTTCTCTTTCTACTGCAGCATCGTGTTGGACAAGCGTTTCCGTACTGAGTGTGAGACCTACGGCATCAGCATTCCCTACCCGCCGGCCAACCGCTACGAGACCCTCCTGAGACAGAGGCACTTACAGGTACACCGCACTCATCCAGTAGGACAAACTCTGTAGGTTCTTCTGCGTTCACCTCCCTGACTTTGCTATCAAGTCGTCGGCTTTCTCTCGTCTAACCCTAACACCCCAGAAATCCTCCAATGCTTGGGAGATTCTTAAGATATGATTAAGGTTTAATTAGTTAAAATGACTCCGTCTTCTTGCCCTTGTAGTTGCTGGGTCGTTCGATTGATCTGAATCGCCTGATCACGCAGAGAATCAGCACGGCCATGTACAAGAGCCTGGAGATGGCCATCATTCGCTTCGAGAGCAGCGACTTGACAGGCATTGTGGTACGTTCAGCCAGAGAGTATTTCAAATGGGTTGATAGCTGATCATGGGGTTTTTATCAGCAAGGGGTGTCACGGGTCCCTTCTGTGTTAAAGAAAATTTTAAAAAACAGTCCTACAAATCAGTCTAAAGTTATCTTAATGGATCATATCCCGATTTCATCTTGTTTGCAACAAACAATTGTTGAACCTGTAGGCATAAGAAGACTGATCTTATGGCTCATTGAACAGGTTAATTGTGATGCGCTCTATAACTTCTCTGATTGAAGTGCTGCATAAGCACAGTGTCTATAGCATTTTATGACCATAGGCAAATCACTTTGCCTCCCACCTGCTTCTCTCCAGCTGGGAGTGTAAATGGATACCTGTGAGGGTAGAGATTTGGTTAGCAGTTTGCTTCTTAAGCGGCTGCCTCTGAGCCGTATTCTCCCAGCGGAACTTGGCTTTAGGAATGTATGTTGGCCAGATGAGCAGGGCTAATATGGTTTAAAGAGCATTGAGAATTGATTGGTGCTGTGTGAATGTACCATGGTACTGTGACCGTAGAGCGTCCCCTCTATGTCTCCCTTGTCTCTTCCCCAGGAGCTGGATTGTCTCCTGGAGGTCAACCGCCTGACCCACTCCCTTCTCAGCAAGCACATGAAGCTGACCAGCTTTGGCTCCATGCTGCGGGAGGCCAACCACAACGTCATGGCGCCCTACGGCCGCATCACGCTGCACGTCTTCTGGGAGCTCTGCTCTGACTTCATAGTGTCGTTCTGCTACAACGGCTCCACAGAGAGGTGAGTGGGGGGAATTATTTCCCATTATTGTATTCGAGTCCATCACAAGTCCCTGTATGCCCATCACAAGTCCATCACTAATCATTCAGTCTTTAGCTAATTCACAAGCTATTCAGATGAGCCGTGACGAAAGCATTCTTTTGACATTGTTGACCGTTACTTATGACTGGTCTTGTGAAGGGACATGCAGCATTTAATGGGTTAAATATCCCAAGTGCAGGTGCTGGGTCCTCAGCAGGATTTGTGACTTTGCGATAAAAATGACAATTAAATGTACATGAACCCACGGAGGCAATGGTAACCTCATCTGCCATTTTTGAGAGGGAAACACCGTCAAAAAGAAGACGGAAAACATGCTGCCATCCAAAATGTTGGGGGTTCTTCACTTCACAGTGGCTTTTGTTGGCCTTTGAAGGTATGCGTGTGTAAAATAAGTTAAACTTTGGACAGGTGGAATTTTACAATCTCCACTCATGCTACAGGAGATAAACTTGAATGCCAATTGCAGCATTGGTAACTACATCTACAATCTTCAAGTAAAACAAAACGAAAACAAATGACTTAAACCCTGATGCAGTCTGAAAAGTTTCTAATTTTACACCACTATCAAGAATTAAGAATGTTTACTCTCGAGTGTCTTCAGTTTGTTGTTTTTCAGTGTATAACAATAATTTATTTTAATTCACGGCGTGTTCTTCTTGCCCTAGGTTCGTACGTACCAAGCTGGCCTTCGCCCAACCACAGAACAGGGACAAGCCGCCGTCGTCCTCCCCATCCTACATCTATGGGACCAAGGTAAAAAGCATAGCAGGGTCTCTGACTATTCGTCTTGGATTGCTTAGTCTTGAGTGCAATACCAGGCATGTGATTTCTTGAGTTTTTCTGCAATAAAGGACATTTTAGCCCAAGCACTCTGGATCTTTAGAGGTTTAATCAGTCAGGAACCCCTAAAAAGCCAAGTCCAAGATTCACATTATTTCAGCCATTTGGGGGACAACCTTTGTGGCTCTTAAATGCCCTGAAAAGTAGCAGTTATTTGTTGTTATTATCACAAACCACCTGTAATAAATGATTTTCGCAAATAGTTTTCTTAATTTCCCCCATCTCCCCTGTGCAACACTGAACAAATGCTAAGAAAACAAATAACATACTGGTTTTTCAGACACAAGGTTCCATCTGAAATCATGAAAATGCACAGCTATTACCCAGAGCGGAGGAATAAGCAGAGTTTTTACCAACGTTGCCTTTAATCTGTCAGGAGAATTTGAACAATTTTGTTGAAGCAGGGTCCAGCTAGTACTACTTGACATGAGACCCAATGTGCCTTGAAAGTTTTAAGTGCAAAAGGTGTGCCGGTGGATTTCTGCACAGGAGCAGATTTTAAGAGGATTTGTGAAGGTTCCCAGGTGAAAAAAGTACAGGGTTAAACCAATTTTCACGTGTTTGTTTCTTTTCCAGTTACTGAACACGGCCTTTGCCACGGTCAACAGCCTCTACAGCTCGTTCATAGGGATTCCACACTGTCGCTGCATTGCACGGTTGCTAGGTTACCAGGGTATCGCTGTTGTCATGGAGGAGCTCCTGAAGGTCATCAAAAGATCGGTAAGTTTTGAAGGGTTGCTGAAGAAAATCTGCTTTTTGGAAGGATTTGCTCTTCGGGGAAAAATGACATCAATGCCTAGCCTGAAAATGACCCCTATCTGAATGCATCTCTATCTTTTAGTGGATAAGATATCACACGCTGGCCAATTATCAGTTTTTTCAGCAGTTACGGCCCATATACATTACGAAATAATTGTCTGTCATAGGGTGGTTTTGTTCAAACCTTCAGGAATTATTTCACAAGTGATTCCTAATGACAGAAAAGTAATTTCTGTGAGATTTTGTGCCCTTTTTTCCCCAGATAAATGACTACATCTTGCCGTACGTAAACATCCTGATGGACGTCATGCCCAAGACGTGCCGGCTTCCGAGATTTGAGTACGGCACCAAAGGTGAGTAGTCTTTGAAAGGCAGTAGTGACAATTTCTTGTCAAGATATCTGTGTGGGTGACCGAGTTTTAGAATGCAAAACGGACAGGACTTGAACATCATCTGACTCAAGGTGGTGCTGTTTAAATATTTCGCATAGATGCATGCAAGTGGTACGCCCATTTCTAGCAGTTTTGTTGAGTGAATGTAAAAATGTATGTCTTGGATGCTGTTACTTTCTTTCCCCCTTGTTTTGCTCTGCTTTAACCACTTGCCGCCAGTGTTTCCAGTTTCGGACACGTATTCTTTATACGTGTGACTGGGGTCTCCGAAATCTGACAAAGGGAACTGGGCCTTCTGACAAAAGACCGTACTCGGAACAAAAAACCAGGTTGGTGGGAATTACCAACATTTTTCACTCTCAATAGTGGAGATAATCCAGACATGTTTTGAAACAGTATACCACAGTTTGGGGCATTTAGAGCGAGTGGATTACCACCGGGGACTAAGCGCTCCACCACTGCAGCGATGAGCCACACAGCACCGCTGCATGCTAATTTGGCTCCTATTGAAAAAAGGTCAACAGCGCACGGTGCCAGTTTCGTGAACAAAAGAAAATTACGTAACACCACACAATCTGGGCTAGGCCTGCAGCCTTGTAAAAAGAGCCCAGAATGTTATCTAACTTTCGTTTGTTCACGAACCTGCCACAGTGCGCTCCTGACCTTTTTTCAATACAGGCCAAATTAGCATGCAGCGGTGCTGTGTGGCTCATCGCTGTGGTGGTGGAGCACTTTTGTCCCCGGTGGTAATCCGCTTGCTTAAAATGCCCCAAACCGTGGTATACTGTATCAAAAGAAAGCTGGATTATCTCCACTTTTGAGAGTGAAAGAATATCAGTAATTCCCAGCAGCCTGGTCTTTTGTTCGGAGTACGGTCATTTGTTACAAGGCCCTGTTCCCTTTGTCCGAGTTTGGAGACCCCGGCCACGCATATAAAGCATGCTTGTCCGAATCCAGAATCCCCGGCAGGGAGTGTATTGTCAGCTTGTAACCATGTATCTCAAATCAGTGTAAACCTACACCAAGCTCTGTAGATAACAAATTTGGATGCAGCCTATTTTTTTTGGTCCCAAGAATAGTTTCTTCACAACTGATGTAGTCTCACCATCCGGGCTACAATGCATATGTAAGTTTCATTGCATGTGACATTTCCCCCTCGTCTGCAGGTGTGGTAGCCTACTACTCGGCCCACCTGCAGGACATCGCCCAGTACGCTGACCTCAAGATGAACCTCTTCCACAACTTCCAGGAGGTGGGCAACGCCATCGTCTTCATGAAGATGATGGAACAGTGCCTGGCCGTGGAGGAGGTGTGCGACCTCCTTCATGCCTCACCCTTCCAGAACATCATCCCCAAGCCGCACGTCAAACGTAAGATTTTTCCCATTTCTTAGTGAACAACAAGAATATTATTTGTAGACCTGTCTGATAGGCAGTGTTTGGGAATTCCATCCTGGCAGGATCATATACACACAACGACGGCTCTAGGCAATGTAAGACTAGCATCTCAAGATGATCAATAAAGCATTTCCTTTCCTAAGGGGGAGCTAATGCACAGTGTTATCCATTATGCATCCACAAAGGGGCCAGCAGTAACTGCGCAGTTGCCGCTGAGGGTGTAATTGTGTTTGGAGTTTGTAGATTAAGGAGCCATTAACGGTTTAAATTGTATGCACCTATTAATTTTGGAATAGTTTTTGGCACAGAATATAGTCTTGGCAAAGAAGCAAAGGGAGTTTACAGTTGTACAGTTGATACTCTTGGTATTGCCACCAAGTAGGTAACTAAGCTGTTGTGAAAAATGGTCAGGTAGCAAACTTGCCAGTGCAGCCTCTCTTTCAATCATGTGATCCATATGTTATCTATTGATCAGTGTACTAGATTATTGATAATGACAGTCACTGCTGTGATCACCGCCTTTATTGCATGATCACACCGGCCGTCTTTCAGGGGTGATGATCATTAAATGATGCATTTCAGGAATGTCAGGAGTCTGGAAAGAGACTCTCGATGTTGAGGTGGTTGTTTCTTTTGTGTGGTTTCCTGCAGAGGGTGAGAAACTGGAGAACAAGCTGAAGAGACTGGAGATGAACTATGCCCCGCTGCAGGTGGTGCCCGTGGTGGAGAAGATGGGAACGCAGGAGGTGAGATGGAGACTTGATTCAAGTGCACTGAGTTGCTTTAAAATGACAGAAGACTGGATAATATCAAATTGATGTGATTTTGTCGCTTGATACTAATACTGTCAAGCAATAGTCTGTGTAGGAACTGAAAATGGTGCTATATGTACTGTAGCCAAGGAATTACAGTCGGACCTTGTTAACAAGAGATCCTTTAGACTTGTCATAGTACCTTGCTATATGTACTGTAGCCAAGGAATTACAGTCGGACCTTGTTAACAAGAGATCCTTTAGACTTGTCATAGTACCTTGCTATATGTACTGTAGCCAAGGAATTACAGTCGGACCTTGTTAACAAGAGATCCTTTAGACTTGTCATAGTACCTTGCTATTAGAGAAACCTTGTATTATCAGGAATGAAAACAATAAAAACTAAAGTTTGGAACCTAAAACTTTCCTTTTTGAAAGCAGAATCTGGTGTTAATAGCACACCTATTGACAAGGTTCGACTGTATAATTATGTTACGCATATTGGCTCATGAGCGTCTGTGTTGCAGGTGTGTACACGATCCATATTAACTGTAATGTGTACAAGCCAATAGCATTGCACCTGAGGCAATCATTACTGAGTGTAGATAGTGGATGGCAGTACTCTTTAACCCTAAAAGAGCTGGGTCTTTGTTGCCTTCTAACAACTGGTGGGGGGGGGAGGAATTTTGCAAAATTCCTCAATTACTATCAGCTTTCAAAACAGCTTAACGTGGTTTCCATGCGTAGAGTGCCATATTCTTTACTTAAAGTATTTGTAATGATCTGTTAGTATGCATAAAAGTTATTGCAAACATTTGCGTTATTACTGTGAGCAAATCAGGTATTATGTCAGTGAGATTTCTGAACTCCAGTTGACACATCTTTGGATTAGTATGTCACTGACATCCATTACAGTAAATGATGAGAGAATATCTAAAGTTTGCCAGTAATTTCAATCTCAGGGATATGCACAGACATAAATGGTTAGCACAATGGATGTCATGCCTAATGTTTCGTTCTCCATCTCCCCTCCCAGCAAATTGCCGATGCCAGAGAGGGCGACCTCCTGACCCGCGAGCGCCTGTGCTGTGGACTGACCATGTTCGAGATTGTCCTGAACCGCATCAAGGGCTTCCTGACGGACCCCGTCCTGACCGGGCCGGACCCGCCCAATGGCGTTATGAACATCGACGAGTGCTCCGAGTTCCACCGGCTGTGGAGTGCCTTCCAATTCGTGTACTGCCTACCTCTGAAGGAGAACAACTTCACACCTGAGTGAGGGCTAGTGGTGTTGAAGTCGAGTACTACACAAGCACTTTGTTGTTACTTCTGAAGTAATCACAAGTCTTTCCAAGTACCCCAGCTTCAAAATGAGCAACAAGTCATTCACACAAAAAACTGTAACAAAGACCTTCCTTTGGTATTATACACCCACTGTCTGTAAAAGTACCCATGCCAGTACTTGTGATTGCTCATGAAGAATACAGAAGTACTTGTGAGCTACTCGACTACAATATTGATAACAGATTCTAACTGAAAGTAAAGGGGGAAAACGGCAGTTTACATTGTGATGATTTTAAGTGAATGAGACCAGTCTAGCCCTTGAAATGAGTGGAACTTTCAGATTTTGATTTTTGAAGATTTTGTTTGAAATTCCGTTGACTTGCTTTGCACTTTATATTATTTTTTGGAGTATCAAAAATTATTTGAAATCTCCCTAGTAATTTATCACAAACCCTTGATGTCCATCTGTGCTGTGAAATGACAGATTCCCCGCTGAGCCAACTGGCAAATCTTTCAAGATAGCAAGTCTTGGCTGTTAAATTTCAATACGAATCACCCCCTTTTTTTCACCTGTACCCATCAACAGAGAGAGTTACGGCGAGGGGCTGAACTGGGCCGGCTGTACCCTGATCACACTGCTGGGCCAGCAGAAACGCTTTGAAGCCCTGGACTTCTGCTACCACATCCTGCGCGTACAGAAAGTGGACGGAGTGGACGCGGACATCAATGGCATTGTAAGTTGTCCTGTGGCATAGACTAGACCAAGGAGATGCTGCGTATACCCCTGCAAATGTTTAGCACAGTATGCCGAAACTCGAGGCATGTGTGCATTGGTTAGTCAGTGAGCAAGTCGGTCATCAATCATTTTATACAGTCTGCTATCAACCCTTGGACCCACAAAATCCTTCACTTTGTAGGAAGCCAATGATACATTTCATTGCACTTAAGTTTGCAAGGGAAATAATGTCTAATTAAGTGTAACAGAGGCTGAGATGTACTTCCCAAAGCTGCAAAGTTCTCATTTCGGATTTCAAATGACCTGGGAGGAAGGAAATGGTTCCAAATCAGTAAAACGTCTCTCTGTTTTTTCGTCAGCCCATTGGAAGGCTGGTGGACCGTATCCGCAAGTACCAGATCCTGAACAACCAGATCTTTTCGGTACTGAACAAGTACCTCAAGGCCAACGAGAGCGAGAGCTCACCGGTGGAGAAGATTCGCTGCTACCAGCCACCCATCCATCAGTCGGTCATCGACGGAGGCATGTAGAAACGCCAAATAAAAAGAAAGCCATCCGGAATTGCTGTTCTCCCGCGGAGCCCATTGTTCAAGGCATTCCATTCCTCGAGATCAAATCTAGCCTTTTCCAGTTGGCCATTAAATTAATGATCGGCATCTACTTTCAGATTTTTATGATCTTGGACTTCAGCTCAAGAGCATGCAGTGACTGGTCACATTAGGGAACCAAAATTTGTGTAGCTTGTTTTCACTGTACATACCTCCTGCTTATGCAATGCGATGTTTTACCTTATTGCGATATGCCCACCCATATTACATGTACCTGGCAATAATAACTGGCCTCAGCTTGTATGCCTTGCTGCGACTAGCACCCTACACCAGTAACTACACTTCTGTTTCGTAATGTATCTAGCGATATTTTGAGTGATGATTGTACATTTGGTTGGGTTTTTGTGCGTGGGAAGTCAGCACCACTTGATCAGAACACAAGATTTTGTTGACATTAGGCACGTTTTGTACCTGAAACCTCCTTTAAAAAAAGAACGCCAGAGCTCACATACATCCATGTAATATATTCCACAGATTTGCCCTTCACTTTTTTACACGGAATTACGTTAATTGCCCAAGGATATTTCAATGAATAAGTCGTTAAGGGCTTAAAATCACATATATTGTGAAGCATAGGAAACTTAGATAGAAATGCTGAGGACTAGTGTTTCATATTATTCATGTGCTGAATGTATGTTTCTGTTACCTTGCATGGCGCATATTTATTCATGGTATCTAGATTGAAGGATACCTTACAGTTATGTTCATGTGGGTGTTTGTATATAATAAAGTGATCAGTTACCCTGTTTATATTCCCACTGTTTTGTCATAATATTCAGAAATTTGTAATTTTTGAGTCCCTTTTTAAATTAAGTGGAAAACAGAATTTATTTTAACCTAAACTTTTCGATCTGTGCTTTCATAACTACTTACTATTAAACATCAAGCATGCGTATTTTTTTTGCATGTATAGTGTGAGAGGACGTTCTGTCTGCATCCTTGGCCTCTGTTGCTTACTTTAGACCTTTGTAGTGAGGAGATGTAGGGGCTGTACATTTTCAGGACTTTTCTGGATACATGTTGAAATTCAAAGTGTTTATTAAAAAAGGGAAACCTTCAAGCTGCAGTCGTAAAGACGCTAGCTTAATTGACACTGTGATGCAAAGCCAAAAACAGGAATCTCTTTGATGCAAAGCCAAAGACAGGAATCCCTTTCATTTAGTTCAAACTTTGAAAGGTCTATTAAATTAATGATTCTGGGGTGAAAGTCGAAGGGCCTTTGAGAATGAATAGGCTTTAAGCGAAAATTTGTTGCTCTCAGAGTTAAGACATTGATCGACGTTCATGTTTCTATACAAGTATAAGTTACTTGAGGAAAAGGGAAGGTCTGTAGCAACAATCTGAGAAATGAGGATTAATGACCAAATGAGACTACTACTAATTTAAAGCATACTTTCTGTAGCCTGCATTCATTAATTCTTTGTGTACATGTACATAATGAAATTTGTATTTTCAAATTATGTCATGTATGTTGACATAAAAGAGCAGTAACTGTTGCAAAATCTGGAAATGGTAGAGTTGTTTGTCATTTTGTCAACCTTTTAATAATTAACATAAAAGGGTCGATATGTATCATGTATTGTTGAATATTGGTGAAGTTCAGTTTCCAAATAAAATAATTTTCAAATGATTGCCCGCCTTTGTCAGTCTCCATTTTTTATATTTTGATTCCTTAATTTGTGCTCATTGAAAAGAAAATCGTTTATGATTGTAAGTGGCCACTGACCTTAGTTTTGTATTTCTTTTTGTTCATTTGTTGGGGAATGCTTACAAGTTCATCATTTGGAATTCTTTTTGGGGGAGAAGGGGTTGGTCCTGTCATATAGATAAAGAACGAAGAGCACAAGACGAAGTAATCTTTTTTTTCACTTCAGCGTTTTTCTAACGTGGAGATATGTACAACTGAACTGGTTCAATCAACCAACTTGCCACTCGTACCCCTGTCCCGTATGACGCCATTGTCGTAATAACGTTGTTGCCCGCTATGCTTGACTAAAACGTCTCGCCTGTTTATATTTAGAATAAAACTTTTGGACGTATTTAATTGGTTGAGGGATCGGATGTTCCACGATGTCCATTGCACTTTTGACCAATAAAAATTACCCAACGAAATTTCACCGGTACTACTTTTTATTACGGTTCGGATATAAAATAGGCCCCCGTGCGTTGTCCAGACAAACACTCCGTGTGAAGCCCCAAAATGGTAGTGAAATCTATTAAATAACCAGACTTCAATTTCTTAGCCAAAAGATATATGATAGTTTCAATTTGAAAGCAACTAGTCGTTTAAAAAAGATAGACGAGGATTGATACAGGTGGAGTGATTAGGCCGAGGTTATCAAGGATTCTGTTCTCCGTAACTTCCGTTTCAACGTTCCTACCTTTATCTTCGCTCTACCATCTATACTGTTGTTAAAGGTTTTAGTTCTTCTAAGACTAAAGTGCTCCGCTGAGCAGAAACTGACAATGGAAAAGAGCAAACGACTTCTTTATATTTCTTCCTGTCGTCTTGTAATGTTTCAGAGTGAAGGAGAATCCCTGGCAAGCTAACCAGCGGACCAACTCAACTGTTTACCGTGTTTACTGGCATGCTGCCGACTTGACGGATGAAGCTTGAAGAGCAGAAACGTTTCCGCGTATGCGACTTTCATCGCTTGTGCCCAGCCCCCGTTTGGCCAAGTTTCAAGGAACCACTATCATCAGTTAATGGACAGTGTTTGCAAGGTGAGTTGAATTTGAAAATAAAACCATTATAGCACTAAAAAGTACAGAATTTAAGTTGTCAAAATTTTGGTTTGGCTATCCGAAGTGTTAAGTAAAATTTTTCAAGGGCTAGGCGGTAGTTACACAGTATTAATTTACCTTCAAAACGTTAGAATATTCATTAGTAGAAGTAGGCCTACTGTGCAGAATAACGTCATATAGTGTCGTCTTAATAATATCTGATTTGAACTGTTATGGATTAAGTGCATGTCAAACTTGTCTGGCCTAACCCAATAGACACTTATTTTACACTTACAGGGAAGCCATTTTAATGTGCTCCCGGAATCCACTTATTCAATATAATCTGTAAAAACAAATGGGGTGGTGCCAGACTATTTGGGGTTCCGTACCTCACTTTAATGTTAGGCCGTGTCCGAAACGGGCTTCCAGAGCTACGGCTAGGTTTATTGTCTGCGCGTCTCCACGCATTTCCAACGTTATAGTGCGAAGACCTAGACCTAGACAAGAGATTCGGATGCAGTCTTACTTAAAACATTTGGATATTATTAATCACAAATATTAAATTCTTAATCATCATAAGTGACATTAATTTGTAATGAAGTTTTATTTCAAAAAAAAGGTTAACCGCGCTGGCATTTCAACACGGCCAATCTGTGAATGAGGCCAAATGTTGTCAACCACTAGGCGTTGGTTGTAGGGCTACGTGTTGCTAGTTTTCACGCAGCCATAGCGTGTCAACTCCCCCTTCTGAAAAGCCAGTTCATATATCGCAGTTGGCATGATGCCAAAGTAAGCAAACTATGCACTGCACATTTTTACTTAGATAAGCCGTTCAAGTTCACGAGTAATGTAGGCGTGGTTATTATTTGATTCGTCGATCTCATTGGCTGAGTTAGTTTCATTAACTATATCCGACTGCAAAAATGAGTGGTACGAGGCCAGGTGTTTTAAATAGTAAACGACTGAGGAACAGTTCGTAGCATCTCAAATTGCTGGCTGGCAGAGGGGCGTAATTGAGCTCAAGCCATCTGTTGTATTGTAAGCTTTATGACACGCCTAAATACCCGTCTTTCAGCAGGCTCACAGTGTTTTCATTCATTGTTTAGCCTTTTAACTTCGAAAGTGTTTTATACTTGGTGAAATTCAAATAAATTGTCCGGTCTCCCTGCTGGCAATACCAGGCACGAATATATATTAACACGCCTGTTTTAAAACGCACTAACTCTCCGAAATCCTAGTTCTGTACACTTACTGTGTTAAACGCGATGTGAGGAAATTTAATTTGTTAAACAGTTATTATTAAGACCATGACTACAAACAACTTCTTTCCACATGTTGTGGTTGCAGCGGCTTTACATATGTATGAAATTCGTCCCCCGTTACACACGCTGACCTTGATGGTAGGGTATGAGACACAACATTATGTATTGTTTTGTTGAACAATGAAATTTGCATATGGTTAAAATTATCGTTGACGAATGGTGTTTTACACCCAAACAGTAAATGATGTCGACGCTTTCAGACTTTTCCGTTAGCCTAGCATTTTCAAAACGTATAAATTTCAAATACGGTTCCAGAAGAAAAATACTCTAGGCCGACAGGTGCAGTATAATGTTTACCTACAATATCCATCCTTGATCGCTGTTTGCTGGCAGGGACAGCTTGAATTTTTCGGTTAAGAAATGTTGGGGGCGCTACACATGTAATTCCTTCTGAACTGATTTTCCCACTACTATACACGGAAGAAAAGTTTGAGGTATTTCGTATAATTTGGCTTTCGCGAATCAAGACTTAGTGGCCACTCACATTCCTCCCGATGATGATTGTTGTAATCATTACTGTGCGAAACTGTGACCATGACATTGTTGAACTATGTAGTTTTCAATAAATTGTACTGTGAGCTCGAAAACTGCATCACCATTCGAGTCTCCCATATGATAATAGCAACGTGCACACAGACATTACAAGGACGAATAATATTTCCTCATACACGAGTACGAAAGTAAATAAGTAATTTCCATGTTAACGGCACCACATTACAACATATTGCTGTTTGTCATATTTACATTCACTTTGTGGACAATGACTGATCGTGTGTTGACACAATGCAATACGCGTAATTTCTTTCGGCAATTAAGGCATCCTATTACTTTAGCTGAGAGAGCTGGTTGAGAATCCTTAACAAAAAATTGTTAAGAACGGATAACTAAAGCACAACAACGAAGCTTATGGTTAATTTGAGTGTTCAAGTTTTATATAGGCCTACATACTTTAAAAACTTCTAATAGAGTCTGAATAAAATTTCAGTAGTGCATGTTTTACGTCAAAAAAAGTTACAAATTTATTTGAAGCTAAGGTATTATTTTATCCCTGCCGCCGGTGGACATGCGCAGTGTTTCTGTCCAGAGCAAAACTCTGTCAGTATTCACAAAGTGGTCGATAAAATCTTGCTTTGGGGTAGACAGGCAAAGCCTGTCACCGTCCGTCATGTAATTCTTAACCCTCCATTGCGCCTCACGATTCGATTCAGTCGCCTTTTAATTTCTATAGTAGGCCTATTTATTGGGGCAGAGAATTTATAATCAGAACCAGGAAAGGAAACACCTTTTGACGTGCCATCAGTGAAAAGTGATGGACGACAGCAATCATTTCAATACACTAAATCATGGCATTTTTGACTTGTTATCCTAAAAAACTGGGAATTAGATAAGTGTTTCTGTCCAGAGCAAAAGTCTGTCAGTGTTCACAAAGTGGTCGATGAAATCTTGCTTTGGGGTCGACTAACAAAGCCTGTCACCGTCCGTCATGTAATTCTTAACCCTCCATTGCGTCTCACGATTCGATTCAGTCGCCCTGTAATTGCTCTAGTAGGCCTATTTATTGGGGCAGAGAATTTATAATCAGAACCTGGCAAGGAAACACCTTTTGACGTGCCATCAGTGAAAAGTGATGGACGACAGCAATCATTTCAATACACTATTCATGGCATTTTTGACTTGTTATCCTAAAAAATTGGGAATCAGATAAGTGTTTCTGTCCAGAGCAAAAGTCTGTCAGTGTTCACAAAGTGGTCGATGAAATCTTGCTTTGGGGTCGACCAACAAAGCCTGTCACCGTCCGTCATGTAATTCTTAACCCTCCATTGCGCCTCACGATTCGATTAAGTCGCCCTGTAATTGCTATAGTAAGCCTATTTATTGGGGCAGAGAATTTATAATCAGAACCTGGCAAGGAAACACCCTTTGACGTGCCATCAGCGAAAAGTGATGGACGACAGCAATCATTTCAATACACTAAATCATGGCATTTTTGACTTGTTATCCTAAAAATTGGGGGTCAGATAATTTGTACTTTATTTCCCAATGTTATCGATTTAGTAATGCGTGCCTTATTAATTCATCATAGTTTAACCGTTTGCTCACAGTCACTAATATAGATACTGAAAGGGGTCGTGCATTGCATGGTCCCCTTCAAAAGAAGAAGAATGCGGTGATTTAGTGACGTTCTTGTAAATTCACCTTTTTGTATTTCAACTTTAAATTGTCCTTCAACGACACTTTGGTTGCATTTAATCGATGGTCAGCCCAGTCACGACGAGACTCAAGGCCGGAAAAATATCAGTCTTGATTAAATACCATCATTTAGTGAATGTCATGACCAGGATATATTGGTTAAGACCAAGTCACGAGCGTTATTAATGGTCACTCAAGCTTGAGCACACACATTTCGGTATTACACAAGTTTCAATCGCCAATCTGTATTGGAAATGTACTCTGACGCTATTACGAGATTCACGTTTTCGGAATGTTATGTCCAGTCAATAGTCTCATATGTGCAATTCAATGGGAAGGTGGACGTGACACTAAAGTTTATCTCATCACAAAAAATTACTAATTATGTTTTACCCGTAAAGTTAAAGTTAAAGAAACAATAGAATTACATCAATTGGTCGAATATTTTGCAAAATACAGTTACAAACGCTGAAGAGATTTTTTAGTCATCCAAACTGCTAAAATGTATGCTTAATTAACTAAATTTGAATTTTGTGAATGGAAACAAAATATTGCTTCTATTAATTCAATTTAAAGAAGCATATTGGGTTTACTTCAGTCTCCTAAAGAAGACATTTTTACACCACTTTTTTCCTCATCACACAAGAGTTAAGCACTTCAGCCATGTAAACGCAATTTACCGAAACAATAAATATGTTTGTTCTGAAGAAATCAGTAGAGGTAATTTGTTGGCAATCATAATTTTCTAAATTTATCACACTTTGATTCTGACAGCAAGATGTTTGCTAAAATAAACAGTGTCATCATTTAAAAAATTGCCATCAAAAGTGTAACGCGAGTTAAGGCGCTTTTCCATTATTGCGTATATTTCCGTCAAAATCGGCGATTTTGACGGCCGAACGCAAGGTACATGTGTGTGATGTTAACGGAGTCGATTTTTGTGTCCGTGAAAGTGAAACGCATAAACGCATCGTGTACACCGACTACAAACGCAAGTTTTTTGATAGTTGAGCAAATTAATTGGGCTAGGGTGTGGTGAACACAGTCGGATGCAGTGTTATGCAGACTATAGGCCTAATGCTGCACTGAAACAAAAGAGGACAGCCTAAATTAACTTTACCTATTGCGCAATGCTGGCATCAAAGTCATTGAGCACATGCCACATCCCTAAGTCAAGCCTAGCTTTCTATATATCAGTTTTTGTGTATCTAGCAGCGGTTGAGAACCCAAAATTCATCATCTGAATTACTAGCATCAAGATATGGGAGGGTAAGTGTATTATTTTTTTTACTTATTATTAAAAAGAAAGAAAGGTTTGAAATATTTAAAATACACACAGTAGGCCTATTTTTCAGATAAAAGTGAATGGTACATAGGCCTATACACTTTTCTTGTTAACTCTATACCTTAATCTTCATAGTGACTTCACTGCACACTGCAAACAATGATTTTTTTTTCAATCATTGGCCTACATGCTAATTATACTCACACCACCACGTGCAAAAGCATTCACAGTTGCAGGGTAGATAGTCCTATGCATGCACGCTAGGCAACCACTTGTGCCCCCCATGCAAAATATATTACACGTCTGTTCAAATTATGACTAGAAATAATTAGTACAATTCCCCTGCTGTACTTAGGCCTTACATCTTAGTTTTTACAAGTATAAATGAAGTCAAATGAAAATTTAAAAAGATTAAAAAATCATTATGGTTTTGTGTTAAATTCTTGATTTTATCTTGCTTTAATTTTCCCAAACATAAATTTGAACCTTAGGTGACGTTTAAAAACATAAAAGTGAAATGCACTATTCAGATTTTCTGTTTTATTCCTCACAGAAAGAAAACACGCCTCTACCATCTGCTGAGAAGCAAAAGCGATACAGAGAACGAAACGCTACTGGTCAGTGTGATGAGTTCAAAACATGTCAGGCAGTCGCTTCCAAGAAAATGTCCTGACAAGCAGAAGCAGTCCAATGAGTCACTTACAGTGGAGATTTATCAATAAAATAATTGTTCTAGATACCCTCATTTTACTATCTAAAAAAGTGTACAATACTTAAAACAAGATGCAGTGCCATCAGAATGGGTGTATGCAATCAATTTGTGTCAGGCTGTTCAATGGAAATAATACGCGAATTACCTTAACGCAAGTTACCAATATATATGCTTCCTGCATTTCATATTGTATTGTATTTTATATTATAACTTTGATATTGTTAATTTATAAGTCATAACCCACTATTAGTTCAAGTTAGGAAAAGTTTTATCAAGATTATCTAGCATGAGAGGACGTTAACAAAAGAGGCTTTCATAAAATTGATCATGTCCTGTTTTCGTAACGCGAATTACAGAAATTTAAAGATTAAAGAATCTCATTGTGTTTGGCTTTGTTTTTCCTTTTTAATTCATTTAGTTGGTCTATTTCTACTCTATCCGTGTTGAAAAAGGAAACTTGTAGTTCCTAACAATTCCAAAGATATGGGCACGCTATCCTGCATGTAAATATACCCAGTTTGTAACGCGAGTTACCGTGGATGGCCGGCATTGCCCATAATCATGCTTCCTTGACTCAGTACAGATGCAAAACCTTTGCTTGATAGGCCTACGAGTATGTGTTAGCACACGCATAGTTATTGGGTCTTTAGTCAAGAAATCATTTTGTTTAGTAGCCGTACTTGACAGAGCGAAAGAGGAAAAATGCCTTGTGTCAAAAAAGACCAAAATACCCCCCCACACACACACACACTTTGTAATAAGATACTAAAGATTCAGAATTTATTCAACCTGAAAAGGGTTAATCTACTGTATCTTACACAGGCATCTACACGTATAATGCAGAGCCGCTGATAGTCCTGTTCATATCTTTGCTGGATGTGTGCGTATTCACATACTGATGTCGTTGAGTGACCTTCAACGATGCTGTATGTGTGTCTGAGACGCGTCAACATACGTTTCACGTTTTCTGTTAAAGCTTTTGTAAAATTGTATAGGGATTGGCCAAATGGTCAGTTAGGACCAAAAGTAGTTGGAGACAAAAATGTTCAGAAGTTTTGTCAAAAAACTCTTTTAAACTAATCACTGTCCCACTGGGTTTTAGAATTTATAGGCCTTACTGGCCTTTTAGAAGTATGGCGGACACAATAGTAGGGCGCTATTTGAAGTGGTAATTTTCGAGCAAACACAAAAGATTTCACCCAATAGCGCCCTTCTATTGTGTCTGCCACACCTCTAGAAGGCCAGTCAAAACTATACAGAGAAAAGACTGATGTCTCAGAGTCAATAACTTTTAAAGTTACCAGACTTTCGACTGGCGGAACAAGTGGACGTCGACATAGCTCTGTAGGCCTATGTGCTTTGCAGGGCCCTGCTGAAGAAACCTCCCGATTGGTTGGCAGACGACAGGATTCTTGACGACATCCACGTTTCAGTGACTGCTTCCCCTGCCTCTCCAGTTAAGGCTATGGGAGATGCACATCTCGTGACAGTGTGGGCCGACAAAATACTGGGCAGATCAGCAAGATCATCTTCAGGGTGACAAGCTCCTGTTCTGGATTCGACTTCCAAGTCGCATAACTCCTCGAATCCGCCTTTATCGGAGAAAAATAGTTTGGCAGTTTTCGGAGATCAGTTTTGGATTTACTAAGAGCATTCAGTGGCCTCCCATGTAGACCTACCGGTACTGCTTCAGGGAGTAACCGTTGTGACCTAGAGATATCATCAACATCGGCAAAATAACGATTACTGAGGAAGATACCAGTTCTGCTGGGGTAATACCTGTGGTTCAATATCATGTATTTAAAAAAGCAAACTCCCGTCCCTTGCCTTGTAGCCACGCCCCTTCTGCATCAGTTGCAATACTTCCACATCCATATTTTTGCAGTGAGATATTAACAAATTTCAAACTGTACTCTGCGTTTCGTTTTTTATATTGGCAGTGGGTCTTTTTAACCCATCCCTCCCCCAACATTGCGCTGCACACCCGCGAGACCCAAAACGATCATACCCGCAGTTTTCACAGTTTCAGAAGACCTTATTGCAAGGACTTTGTCAGATCTCCATAGTGGCTAGATAGGATTAAAGCTGCACTGTAAGAACATATCTTTGTCATGATGTACCGGTACAAGTGACAGGCTCGAGGGACTCGCACTCAGTATGTACAGGTACTCGGGATAAAAAGTCTCGCAGACGTACTCGTAGATGCATCGCCCGCATTGTCTCCATTTATTGCAGCTAACAGTGCGATAAATTTCGATGTGCTTGTCGTTTACAAGTATAGTCGGATGGTTTTATGATTACATTTGAAAAAGTCGAAGGAAATGTAAGTTCACGGAATTTTGAAAATTAGGAAGACAAAATACCTTGAATTAAAAAAACTTAGCAGTTCGCAGGAGGATACAAACGCATTAAAATCGAGATTGAATTTGTTGAACCTGTGATGACGGAAAAGTAATTTTACATAACAATTACTTATAGTAAAACACCTTAGACATAACACAGTAATTAAAACTGACTTACACAAAATTATAAATTATACAAAAAGAAAAATACTACCTTCGGTAATGTGTGTAAATGCCCAAAGACAAACATATCTAACTTGGAGGTTTGAGTTTGGGGAAAAATGAAATATCCACGAAATTAATTACAAGAGTTAAGATCGGAGAACCATAATTTTACATTTGTGTTTGCCTACAGCCATCCCTTATATTACCCATTTATTGCCCTCTTCATTAGTCTTTTAATACATAAAAACACCTTAATTGTCAACGTAGGATTTTCCAGATTTTAAAAGAAAGACTTTAAAATTCTCATGGAAAACTCCCAAAATCAGGAGAAATCTCGACAAATCTCGCCCCTGACCTGACAAAGGCTCTTTCTGCTGGCGTACCAACAGATTAATTTTGTCTGGCACATTTTTGGTTATAATGATGACTGAAATTTCCGGAATTTATCATTTCGATTTATACCAATCCAGTGTTTCATTGTGACAAAGGCTTGATGCGCCTTGAGTGGAGCTTTTCGTAGTACTCCATGGACGCTTCCACGCAAGCCTGAACATCAACGGGAAGACTCTGGATTACTGGAGGGGGTTCCGGAGACCAGAATCCCACGCTTTGAAGAGCGTCGTCGTAAAAGCCTCCAAGTTTGTTGGCAAAGGCTATGACTTTCGATGTAATCCATGTGTCCGCGATGGCTCCTCCAGCTTCCCAAGATAGCAGATCTGGACTGTATGGAATGCCCATCTTGTGACAGTAGGCCGACAAGATGCCGGGTGGATCAGCAAGGAGGTCATCTGCGTCAAGAATAATCGGCTCCTTGTCCAGGTGCCTCTCTACGTACTCCAACAAGTCACATTGCTCCTTGAATCCGCAGCCTGGAGGAAACAGGTATTCCGGCAGCTCTTGCAAGTTGTCCATGTATTTTGCGCACGGTTCACCGAGCGTTTTCAGAAGCATCTTTCTCCAAGACGGGAAAACCTTGGCCGGGTGTCGGATCAGAAAGCTGTGCCGGAAACCTTTGGGCAACATGTGGTATTTAGCATCGATATAAAAAGCCATATCTTTACAGAAGAGGATCTTCTTGTCTGGGTGAGATGCCTCAAGAAGTTCGTCTCGTATCCAGCCGTATGTACAAATTTTGTCGTCGAAACCACGGACCTCTTCATCGACAGAAACGTTGTCGAGAACTTCGGCTGTGCGTTTGTCCACCGGGTCACTCAAATTCAACTTTGAACGTTTCCCCTCCGGGCCCGCATGGAAGGCGCACTGGTAAGGCTCGTTTACAACCTGAAGGCCTTCGACAAAGCTGATACACTTCAGAAAGGCAGTAGACACCGTGCGAGGCACGCACCACAAAAAGACACGGTTCATGTTGTCGGACATCTATTAAAGTATCATAATAAAATCATACTTTACCAAGTGTTTAACTGGACAAATTCTTTGTTTTGTCCTAATCTATTCACCTCTTCTAACATAAGGCTGGTACCCAATATCGAGGTACAGTGTACAATTAACGTTGCATGGCAGACAGTAAAGGCATAGGCCTATATACTTCTCCACATGTACTTCCTGAACAATAAGGCACTACTCTGCTGCTGGAGTTCGGTATGAATTTGTACGAAGGATTCAGAAAGATTGGACTGATGTAGCTCGAAAGTATCGAACTTTAATTGCAATTGTTGCACATTTTTATTGCGAATTAAGTGGCCATTCACAACATTGTTTCAAATTTCGATTTCTGAGTCCTCCAAACTGCTTTGGGGCGGCTGGTAGTTCACGCGAGTCAAAGGATTCGCTCGTTGCATAGCGCCTTATAAAACAGAGCGCTAGGAAGGCTGATGGCCTTGCACAGATTTTAGTGAAGGAAATGCGTCACACGGGGTCCCAGCCATTAAAAGGATGATCACAATTTTTCGCAGATACGGAGGGAGTAAGTTGGGGGACGATTAGCCCCGTGGCTAGCCTCGGGCGCTAGGGGTGCCACAGTACCAGCTGGAGGGGGGGTTACCAGAACAACAGATAAATGTGGTACTGATGATTTTTGCCGGGGGGGCGGCCGCTCGCCAAGGGGTCCGGCCCTTCATAGCGATGTGCCTGCGGAATCGAGTCTCGCATCCCCCTTTTGATCCAGCATTAAGCAAGTTATATCTGCGATCCATCGTGTCCCAGCCTACGTGTACCCTCTTTTACCCCATGCAGGGTTAAAGAGGAGGTGGAAATACATTTATATGCCCCTTCTTTTCTTTGCAGCGCAACGACTGATCCTGCTGAAACGTATTAACTTTATATGTCGGATCCTGTTAGAATGCCACTTGAAGATGGTGGGTCCGACTAAGTGTCATTCCCACGGAAGTGTGTTGACCACAGCATACCCCTCTCCAAAAAGGCCGGACGGGAGAAACCATTTGCCTAATTAGTCATCTATATGTTTCCATTTTTCCCTTGGTTTTTCCTTTTCCGACTGACCATATGTTTTCTTGACCAATCCATCTAAGAAGTGGGCAAATAACCTTAAACTGACTATAAAAATTGAGACGACATCCTGGTACGTGATCTTGAGAAAGTCTTAATTACGAAAGATGAGATCATTCCTTATCCAAGAAAACTTAAAGACTAAAGACAATACTGCATCAATTGTTCCGAGCACATGGCCCACCCGTTATAAGAGGCCCAGGTCGCCCTGTCCTCCTCAGAAGCGATCTGAGACCTGCTGAGAAGGCTGTCTCCAGGTGCTGTCTGCACTTTGCTTCTTAGACAACAGTTGTTAAAACTTTTCTCCTCTCCTCCTTCTCATCACTGACCCGTGTGCTATGTTGGTGCAGGGTACTTGCCCATAGGTCATGTCGCTTTGGGGAGCCGACCCGGTTCGTCTCTCTACCGTCTTTCACTTTGACCCTTTTCCCCATCATCATACTGGATCTGTGAGTCTCTTGACCTAGCGAAGGACTACCAAGGACTTGGAGCTGCATCCATGTCCACTGGTCAAGTTGGATCAAGCAAGACCAAGATCACAACTAAGCCTGATTAAGTTCTTTTTTTTTAATTTCTTGATTGTATAAGGGATTGAATTTTTTCTGTATAAGTCATTTTGTTTCCTTTCCAGTTATTGATTGGATTGCTTTGTATCCTGTTTTCAATTTAAGTGTATGTTTTAAATTGCCTGTCCATCCATTGTTGGTATTTCTCGTATATCGCCTTGTACTTTGAGTGATTGTATTTTGAATGTATTCTTGCAATAAGATTGTTTGAGGATCAACATAAGACGCTGTCTGTTTGGATTCTTTCGAGCAGATTTTCCTTGTAAAACAATTTATTGAACCGGCACAGGTCTCGACTATGACAATCGAGAGCCAACCTGTGACATATAAATGCCACGAAGACGCTCTAAGCTTGTAATTTTTGCGAGAGCGATATGCAACCCTCCGTATTACACGCACGACTTCATTTCCCCAGTACAGCTAAGGTTTTTTGAGTGCACCTCAACACCGTGTCTAGTAAGTTCACAATGTTTCAATGGCAACGTCCGGATTCGCAAAGGACTTTGCTAGTGTTGTGTTATTTCGCGAAGATATTGCGTTAGGGGCCATTAAAAATTGTCAATGTTACATGTATTAAATTTGGATTTATTTCCAAATATTTGGTGTATGGGTCAAGGTAAATAACTGACAATCGAAATTTACAGGGCCGCTGGGAAGGGCTGGTGGCTTTGCACTGTGATCGGCTACATTGTGGTAGACCTGTAACCAGGAGGTTACCACTTCCTGTTAGCGAACGTTATTTAAATTTGTTGGTTTACCAAAGGCAATGTTTTGGCACGGGCAAAGTGTAGGCTGCAAAAACATGGTCTTGGTACAATCACAGTGTGGTAATTTATTTTCTCACCAAGTATCATTGATCATGTGTCTTTTGGCGATACATTTCAAACCATTGGCTATCTTGATTATTTTTGGATGAACAAATAAAGTGCAGTTAGAATTTTTCATCAATGAAGAAGAAAAAGAACATATTGAATTGATAACCGTCGCTTGTGTAACGCATTGAGCGAGCTCGCGCGCCTGGCAGAAATTTACCCACAAAGTTTGGGCCCTTCCAAAGTTTTCAGAATTTTCTCGATCGGTCGTAGGCAGTGCACGGCTTTTGGGGTCCTGTAGTGTTCTCACTTATATGCTTTTAGAACGTAAAAAAATCAAGAAAATGCAGGCATGGCTTGTAATCACCAGTCGCGCACGGAGAGCCGGCATGGCTCCAAAGGAGAGTAAATCCGCAAGGTTCAAATGCATCGTGCGTGTACTGTACCTGCAGAGGGCCTACTCTCCACTATAACGCGTGGTAGCATGCATTTCACGGTACTTTTGCGGCTTGAAACAAGGTTAGAAAATTTTGCTTTCTCCAATAGAGGGCTTTGTGATAAATAGTGCGGGCAAAGCTGTACAGTCGTGGATTATCGAGCGGTTTTTACATGCTCTACAAGCATCGTTTGGTAGGAGATTTCATGGAGATTCCAACAATTGTTGGATAGTAGCTGAGCAAGTGTATGAATTGTCCAAAGAAGCTCTAACTTGGATTCAAACTTTGGCAAGACCGATCCTCACGTCCGCAGAAATGGAAGTGGATGGAATACACAGTATAGACAGGCAGGCGACTCAAATCCGCACCCAAAAAACCGATAGCATGGACATGTAACAAAGAATCAAATTTTGAAACCGTGGTCGAACCATTTTATTTTTGAAACATGAAGGTTTTCATAAATATATATGTATGGTTAATAACGGGCACCTTCCAACAATGTAGTGCCGACGGGAGTTTGTCGATATTTCATGATACCGATAGAAAAAATGTCGATAAGTACTAATTTGGGGGAGGGGGGGCTTGGAAAATAGTACTCTGTGTACTACTTTGAAAATTGACCTCTTAGTCTGATCCCGGGGGTCTGTTTTCATCTGTTGCACATCACAGAAGCTTTTGTGTAATGGGGCATAATAATGCAATAAATTTTCGTTTGTGAAGTATAAGTCCCCACCATATTGCGTTAATGACAGCCATTCCGGTCGGATGGCAGCACGTGATTGGACAATAATAATGTTGCACTCATTTCTAATTGCTCTCGTGCATTCTCGATTTGCTAATAAGTATAGGTCGAAAAATGCCGTGGTGAAACCCAACCGCCTATTAAAGCCTACCAGACCTGTCTGTTGTACATGTATATCATTGTATATCTATTGTAGTACAGTTATTTGGATGTCGCTTCCAAATTCTTAAATAAATGACCAAAGCAGTAATAGGTTTCTATATCAGAACATTATGTAATACAAACTGCTGCAAACTGCTTGCTGACTAAAGTGACCTAAAATACAAATTACAAAATACATGTATGGAGGGCGAGACGTTTCGATCCCAGCAGAACCTTTTTCAAAGGCCAAATGACAAGTAGACAGGGACATACGAGCAAACTGTGGATCAACCAAGCGTAGGAGGTGTAGAAGCTAGAGGCTAGATAGAGGGACAAGGGGGTAAAGGAGGCTGAATAAAAGGCATGGTTGGGCAACAAAGGGATGTGAGGTGGGAAAAAGATCACAGAAAATATACAAAGCAGCCATCTGGACGTAGGTGACTGAAGCAGCTGTTTCAAACCAATTAGATGTATAGTTTCATTTTCCGCGTTTAGGTGACCACGGTAAATTGCAAATATTACTTACTTGACTGGTTATAGGCTTATTTCTCACGTTTCGTGAAAGAAATCGAGAGATAGTCACAGTGTAAGCAAAACTAGTTATTTCGGTCCCAGGCTCTTTTCGCGGAGAGAATCTAATTTGTTTTTCTGTAATTTGTAAGGTGTAAACGTTTTCTAAATGTTTTCAAATGCAGGCTGGGGGAGAAAGGCTTTCTCTTCTCGATTAGATGTTTACCTTTAGACCCAAACCCAACGCTGACTACATCAATTCTCACTTCACCATCTGCCCAGGTAGGCTTAATCAGTCGGTGCTTTTCGGTTCTCAACTTAACTTCCTCCATTGTCAGCGAAAAAAATTGCGATCATCCTTTGGTCTGATTTTGGGGTCTTTTTTCAACTGTTGCCCATCACTTTTGTGTAAAAAGGACCTCTTATGCAAGAAACGTTTCTGTACCAATGACAGCCAATCTGACCTCAACGACAACACTTGATTGGACCGTATTGCATTGTTGCACTCGTTTTGAATTGCTCTCTTTAACGATTTGCTACTGCATATAGTTAGGTCGAAACATGCTGTGTTGAAACACAACCGCCTAAGCCTATCACATCTGTCGACATCCACGGGAATAAATTCATCCAGCGACTGCATGCAAGCTGTCTTCAATCAGTCTTTTTTTTATTAAAAAAAGACTTGCCTAAAATCCCGTATTGGCTCGCTCTAGGCCTATATATTTTGAATAGCTCACGAAACAATTTCAGTGGCACTAGCTTACACGTTGCACTTTTGTCACAATGGCTGATAAAAATCCTGCAACAAAGGGGAGATCTTTTAGTGGAGTTCAAGGTTCGCATTTTGGGCAAGTTTAAGCTTTGGTCCTTGGATGTGTTTGCAATGTTCACTGATCGCTGCGTAAAATTGCAGTTTGCCGTCTGAGTTTCCGGGTTCATGAAATGCCGACAGTTTTGATGTTACAACTGGCAATAATACCCTCATTGCTGCACGGAATTAATGCACAAAACGGCGAGGCAGCCAGTAATGGCTTATTGAATGCCTTCTCTGCTTTCTCAACAGAGCAATATTACATTCAGTTAACTAAATTAACAGTATTATGCAGATAATTCTAGATACACGTAGGCCTAATTTTAAAAAGGTAGATATTATATTTAAAAAACAGTTACAGATACAAAATGGCAGGCCTATCGTAATCACAAATATGACTTACGCTGAACAACTTGAGTTTTTCTCGGGGAAGTCGCGTTTGGGCTTTTTAACACCACTCAGGGTCTTCGTCAGTGAGCAATTGACCCTTATGATCACGTGAAATCAACCTATGGGTGCAGTGTCCCAATTCCAGGAAAATTCTCCACCAGGCCGAGGCGCACAAAAAGTACCCCTGCAGATTCTTTCGAAAAGAGGGGACTGTTTGGGCCAAGAAATGGTGGGATTGTGTCAGTATGGCCCGGGATAATCTCTGTAGATTCAGGGGCACCCGTCCGGGGGGAAAGCAGACAAAAATGTCATTGAAAATTAGTCAGAAGAGCCCCAGGAAGGTGAGGGATGTCATTTTAAAAATTGCCGCTGAGAAGACTTGGGAACATTCACTTTTTCGGGGGAGAGTTTGTTTTTGGCGGATAATTAAAAAATTCATTGGTTAACCTACTAAAAATTGAAAATAAAAATGAAATCTGAAGGACCAAACAACACATTGTTTTTTGTTTAAGAGGCCTCAGGGACTTCAGTTGCCTGCCATGGGGCTCCAAACTTGGTTGAGTTTACGCTTTTTTCAATGAAGCTTGAATTAGTTCAGTGCACCCCTATAGGCTCAATCCTAACAACGTCATAATTCGACCAAAATTCTGGGTGGCGCAATTTTGGGAGTAAAAAAATCATCAGGTTCGCTGCGCACGTACGTGCACGTATGTTGGTTTATCCCTTCGACTTAGTTTGTGCGCATGCGCTAAAATTCGGCAAAGTCGTGGGGCAAACCTCACGGCGCTGCTTAAGCATTAAGCAAATTCTCGTGCTTAACATAGCAAAAGAAATTGCCAACGGGCAAGTGTATTTCAAGGCGATCGTTACATGACTGCTATGCTAAGTACAGAAAATTCATGCGCGCATCTTGAGACGCGTTTTGTGTGACGTTTTGTCACGTATCGTTTGCTACTCTGAGGGTCGTCTGCCTACGGTCGCCGTGAAATGAAAATTTTGCTGAGGGGCGGTCGCTTAGCAAAAAAAACTGCGTGCTTAGCAGCGCCGTGAAATTAGCCCCTGGCGGTTTTATATATTAGCTTTCTTTTTATACATATTTTATCCCGTGTCAATCTTTTTGTGCTTTGCATGTTCATGTTTACAAAATGAAATCCAAGGATATCCAGATTTTTTTTTTGGGGGGGGGAGTTCTTTTCTGGTGGATGAGACTACTTTGGGGGCTTTCTACAAATATTTTCAGGGTTGAGGAATAAAACATAACTGCCTTTCCCTGACTCTTGTTCTTGGGGCAGGCATGAACATTGACCTCTGGATCACGCTTTGAGAAACTTAATAAATAAATGTATAAACAAAGCAAAAATATTTTACTGCCAACTTTTTTCTTGTACATTATGCTTTTAAAATGAGAAGAGAATATATATTTCATCTACACATGCATGGTGATCACCAATACAATGGCGGAGGCCTACCGTTTGATCTTGATTTACAAACAGCGAAAAATAGTTTTCCCAAGCTATACTTGATCAACAAGTTATGCTTGCCTGGATCCAACCTTGTATTTGTCAGGAATGAAAACGATGAAAATCAAAAGATAGGGACCTACAAATTTCCTTGTTATAAGCAGAATTTTGCATTAACAGTGCTACGAGGTTTGACTGTAATTACGTTCGGCGCGGCATCACAGGTGCTAGGTCTTATTGCACGCAGAACCAATAAAAATATTGAATTCGAGCAAAAAGTCTAGCCAAATGATAGTACTGTTATTGGTTCTTAATTATTAAGTATTTTGTTAATCTGCAAACGCTTCTAAATTTCAGAAATTCTGAGTAGAAAAGCGTCAAGGGATCAGTCAAAATGGAAAAAAAAGAATTATTACTTACAGTCTTAGCAACCACTTGGTGGCTACATTTGGCTACTGACGTTCTTTTAATCGAATACATCCGATTAGACATTCCTGTGCACAGGCGTGTACATTTTAAATTTAATCTATTAATTACGCAAGTGTGAAATCTAGAAATAAGAAGACTCGACAGAGGATGTGAAAGTTGTTGAGGGTTTTTCTGCAGCGTATACCTCTGCACTTATTTTAAACCTTAAATACAATGTACTCCACATCACAAGGAAGTGGCACATTCCATTGCTAGCGATCCGTTTTTTTTAATTCCATTAATCTTTGAAAACAAAAATATCCTTCGTTTCTTTGGCGGGTTTTCTTTAAATCACAACAATACTTAAATACAAAATCCGGAAGTGGACTTTTATCACCAGGTCACGGCAACAAACGAAAAGAAAAGAGAAGGTGCTACATGACCGGTAATGGGAACCTACAGCGAGCGATGCATACGAATACTACAAGTTTCTACTTATTTATGTTTCCTATTCATACCTTGAAAAGAAGCCTGATGTTGAGTTCTTCATTTTGAAGTCGCAAAGATCTCAAAATACAGTTGGCGACACGGGACATATCTCAGAAAGACGGTATTCATTCATATTTGAAATCGCATTATTTCATGATGTGAACTATATTGATGCATAATGGACCGAGCCACTCGGCTGCCAACGGCGTTTTCCCCTTAAACCACTGTTTGCTAGTTAGTAGGCTATCCTTCAACGTCAAAGATGTAGAGCATGGACCCATGACGCAAATAAAGAAGAGCGAAATAGGCTTAAAGGACTATACTTCAACCGTAATTTGCGCGCGCACTTCTACTTACGACGTCACCGATCATGACAGACATGGTCAGAGCTCCATGGTCAGACGTAGCATATCGAAAACGGCCCGGCAGATGGCAGGGATAAGCCACAGAGCACGAGAATGTGATGTACACGTCGCAAAACGCCGCGTCACCGACTAAACAACTGATGGTCGATGATATAAGTCCGGGACAAGGTCTTGTGGAGACACTGTGTTCTAATCACACCGTAACAATAGTCTTGATTTCTCTCCGTGTATCTTTGTTGAGGAAGAGGTTTGCCGTTTTAATAACGATATAACCTTGGAGCAATGTAAGCCCTGGCCTCGTCACAGCACAAACTGTCAAATTTCCTGTGTCGGTAATTACTGTCTTGCAATCATCCCCCTTTGTGTTTCGCTCCAGCGATTTTCTTGCAGACTAGGCCTAATTATCGTACGAAGCTGTTGCAAATATTTATTTACATTAAAATCGGCTGTTGCAGAACCCTTGCGAATAAAATACCGACAGTTTGCCAGGTGCACCCAAGAATCAACCTGCTGCACTTGAGATATGTGATTGTAACGTCGAAATACACTTGAATTGATAGTAACGTGAGCTTGAGAATTTCTTAATTGTTCTGACAAGATAGAATTCAATTCCAGTGATGAGATGGCGTCTCCAGGAACTACCTCGTCAGAGATGTTCACACCGGGAGTAGCCTCAATTCTCACACCAGTGCAACGAGTCATCCTCAGCAGCATCATGATCTGCATCTGCATCGTGGGGCTCCTGGGCAACACAATTGTTATCTCAGCCGTCGCCCTGTCTAAGAAACTCAGGTGCGTTACCAACGTCTTCGTGGTGAACCTCGCTACGGCCGACCTGATGACTTGCCTGAACATCCCCTGGATGGCCGTCGCTAGCCTATCTGAAGGCGGCTGGACACTCCCCGATTGGATCTGCACCACCTGCGGGTTTGTGCTGATGGTCTGCATCGGCAGTAGCATCTACACCCTGGCCTGCGTTGCAACCATTCGCTGCGTGGTGATCACGGGCCTGCCAGGCCGCTGCAAGACCCTGTACACTCCTCCCAAGATCTGCGCGATTCTCGTGCTCATCTGGACAGTGCCTCTGGCCGTGGCGACCGTGCCCCTCGTGTCCAACTTCGGCAAACTTGGCTACGATGTCAAGTATAGTTCATGCACCTGGGACACCAGCAACCCCAACTCAGAAAACTTCAGCAAACTGATCTCCGGTGTTTTCTACCCGTTGCCCTTCGTCATTATCACCTACAGCTACTTCAAAATCTACCGGCACGTTCGGCGTCACTCCCGGGCCGTGGCCTCCATCTTAACCGTGAGTTCATCTGTGGCGACCCAGCAGACCCAGGACGGGCACAACGCAACCGGGGAAAACCTCGCCGTGATCCCAAACAACAACGGACGTCAAGGCAACAGTTTTCGAGAGAAACTGAACAAACGACAAGTGGATGTGACCAAGAACATGTTTTACATCGTCTGCGCATTTGTTCTGTGCATATCCCCATACGGTTTCAGTCTTATGTACATTGACAGTGACCCTTTTATACCGTATGCAGGCATGTTTTTACTTTGTAATAGCTGTATAAACCCTTTTATCTACGCCACTAAGCACCCTGATTTCAAGAAGGTTATCCGACTCATGCTAACTTGTAAATTCTCCAAAATATAATTAAAAAAGAAAAAAATGAAATCTGTTATTGGGCCACAGTGTTTCATATTGCAAAGCTTAAGAGGGAATGTTATCTGCCCCACTTTGTGGACAACATCCGTACCTTGTCATTTTTCCCCTCAAGCTCTAATCTGTGGCAAAAAAATACGTTCATAAATCAAAGTGAAGTAGTGTACCGCGCTGTTCATGAGGCTTTTCGGCCGGCTTGTAAAAGGACAGGGAAACAAAAGATGCATAGGATAGAAAAGGCGTTGAATTGTGACTCCACCTGGTGTAGCTAAATTAAATTAGTGAATTTCCTGAAGCAAAACGTGACCGCACAATCATTGCTTTGGGAACACAATTTCAGCCCTGAGCGAGGCAAAGTGGAAACCGACTCCCGACATACCGTATTTCTCTCTTACATCATAGCAACTCATTTCCCTTCGTTTTTTTCCTTCCTCGCTTTTTTTTTTCATTTTGAGTCTGTATGACTCTTCTGGTGATGCCGCAAGCGCTTTGACACCGATTCTTGGATTAAAAGCGGACTTCGCTAGTCACCCAGCGCCCGAGCAGGGCGCTGGGCCGGGAAGGGCTGATGGCTTTGCACTGTGATTGGCTACCATGTGCACGACCTACGACCGCGAGGTTATTTGAAGTTTCTGGTTGACCAATAACAATGCTGTGCCACAGGCCAAAATGTCGGCTTATATCATAAAAACATGGCATTGGCACAATCACGGTAATTTATCTCCTTACTACATGTAAGTACCACTGATCACGTGTCTTTTTGGTGATATATTTCAAATCATAGGCTACCTTCATCAATTTTGGAAGAACTAATAAAGTGTAGTGAGAATACTTTCAGCAATGAGGAAGAAAAAGAAACAATATCGAATTGATAATAGCCACATTGCGCGTGCTCAAGCGCCTGGCAAAAATTATCCACAGTGCTCTACGAAACGTTAGCTGTGACCCGCGTGACGTATATCCATGGTATATCCGTGCAAGGCCATCAGTCCTTCTCAGCGCCTACTTCGGGCGCTGGGCGACAAGCGAAAAAGTGGACGTACGGTTCGCGCAAAATGTCCAATTTGGAACGCCGGATGGCGAAATGCCAAGTTTCTCCACTGCACACAGAATGCAAAGACAGTCGCCGAGTGTGTACATGTACTGTGAAAAATATGACAGATTCCCAAATCATATCGATCGAAGCATTGTGCACGAAAAAAAAGTTTCTTTTTTAATCAAATGAAGAAACGTTTTCTGAGGAACAACCGTCAGTCGAGAGTATCCGCTCTCATCTCGGCGGGGGGGGGAGAAAAATGACATCATTTAAAATGGTTAAACATGAGTAACCACGGTAGCCGACGGCCCGCTGCCCCCGCGCGGTCTAGGTCAAATTTGTCCCGCGCTGGAGCTGTTCAACAAATTTCACTTGGTCCCTGCATGCCTTCCAGTCGATCCGAGACGGGAGTCAGGATCGCTCATCGGTGATGCTGAACACTTCAGCTTGGCTCTCTCCTTGGGAATTCAGACTCCCCCCCCCCAAAAAAAAGAAGCAAAAGTTGACGCCGATTTGCGAATCAAATCTTGAATCTATCACGCATCATGCATATTCTCTGGACCCCTTTAAAAACAGGTTCCTAAATCCATCTATTTCCCGATGATTACTCGATAAGTGAAGAAACGTTCATTTTTATCATTCTTGTTTTGTATTGATGCAACAGTCGAATTAGACAGTAGGTTCGATCCGTCGCGCGAGTAGTACAGTGTAAGGAGTATTCAGCATTCAGTGTTAAACTGGCAAACACACGAAACACTGGCCAAGACTGTGCGCATAGATGAAGGGAAGTCAAAAATAAAAAGATAAAAGAACAGAACAGAAACAACTTAGTGTTTACAAGAACCCTTAATAAAACAAAATGCAAGATGAACAAGAAATATAACCATTTTTTTAAAAATTAATGTTGGGTAATGTTATGACAGTCATACAATGGGATGAAATTACTACGCTTATGTTGGTTCACTTGGGTAAGATTAAATATACTAATGGGACGAATTCCCTTGTTAATTATGGAGCAAAAGGCCACTTTTTATACAAATGTTATCTCCTATTTGATTGCAGCCCTTTTTTCTTCTTCGAACAATTAAAAAAAGGACAAAATATCCAGGTGTGAAATAAAAATTTAAGCAAAGAGAGCACTGGCTGTTATGGTAAGGAATTATTGAGTGTTTATTTGATGAAAGTTGAATACCAGTTGAGACGACCGGGAGGGACGGGCAATAGTCGAGGATATACCCCCCCTCATACAGCCGGACCATTCAGTATTCATTTCAATAATTCATCCACTGAAACTGATGAAACATCTGTGAAAGTCTCGGGGAAAGAAAATTTCCCGGATTGGCAAAGGAAATGCAAACAGCACCCCAGACCGCGCTGTCTTAATCAAACATTTCGTTTCTCTCCAACTAATTACGTTTCTTCAATATCTTTTGCTTTCTGTTTGAAGATTCTCTGTGGGCAGGCTCATTTTTATTAGAAGCTTGAGGGATAGGAAACTGCGTGTCGTTTCGCCGGACGAGTCATATCAGAAGCAAATTGTTGGATTCCCTGTTGGCCCCGGCCTCTGAAGGTTTGCGACTAATGCAAGGTGCATTTCAGTTTAGCTCCGCACCCGGCGATTACATCTGGAGTGTATCCCGACCATTGCAGTTTCCCACAAATTCCTCGCATAAAAAGAAAAATGGTTCCAAAGCAGATTGCCGTTATAGTTATGCACGAGTTCATTGCGGGGGTGGGGGGGGGGGGGGTAAATTTGGTGGTTAAATGCAGTTACGGCGCATTCGCAGTGTTTTGAGAAAACTGCCGTCGGGTACTCGCGCACAATTCCTGTAACTGCTCGATCATTAATAATCCACAAATTGACATGGATTTTGGTACCTTTGATGTTAGAGTTTATTGGAATAACACGTTTGCAACGTTAATACCCAACCCAAGTACACAAGCACACATTTTAGCTAAATGTGACACAGTAGTGCAGGTCAATAACGAAATGTAAATATCGATTAATCAATACTTGTACGACAGACATGCCTTAAGAGCAAGGGAAGGAGAAACAAAAACGTGTGATTTTGAAGCTCTGAGCCTAGAAGGAATTTCTGCTATCAATTACACGGTGCCCCTCACAGTCCTGATTACACTTGCGTTAATTTCTAATGCATTTTGCGGTTGGGATAATGTAACATGTTAACATTTCCTTCGTGTTTGGAAAAACTCTTTCTCTCTGCGTACACGTGGTTTTATAGAAAAGTGTAAGCCTTAAATTTCTTTGACATTTCAAATGCCGCTGCATTGGATCTGATTCTCAGTACAATTAAAACAAACATTCTGGTATTCTCTCTAGAGTTATACACAAACGACAGGCTATTCAAGCATGATCATCGTTTATTGCAGCAAACTAATTACGAAAATAACAGTGGCAAATTTATAACTTAAAAACTGGTTCGATACAAAACTAAGAAAACACAAAGCCTCTGGTCTGCTGCAAGAGCCATTAAAAAAAAAAGGCTTCAGCTGGTGATACCTGCCCTATATCCTTCCAGGCCCCTACAAATTGGCGCGCATTCTTCGCGCTGCAGTTCACGCTTATTATAAGGGGGGCCGGCTGCACGGAAAAACAATCGAATCCAGACGTGTACAGTCGCTGCCAGCGCATTTCACTGTGGTGCGGGCATTTCAGGCATCAAGATGGTGAAAGGTCCCTACTGTACAGAATCCTACTTTCAGAAATGATCACACGACTTGACACTTTGCTCAAAGGTTGTCACTGAGATTGCCATGGATGCAAAGATCACACAGCTCTAGAGATGACACTGATGTTTTCAAGTCTTCAAATGTGAATATACTCACTCACCTGATCACTCTCAGAGAAATATCAATTACAGGCCAGTAAATACTTTTTTTACATTTGAATATATGATCTCAACAACAACAACAAAAACAACCAAACTTCACTTCATTCTAGAAGACAATAATTAATTCATTAATTCAAGATTGTACAAATAAAAAAAAAGTAACAATTCCCCTCGATCCAATACCAGTGTCTTTTAATAAAGCATAAAAAATAACCCTTCATTAATCCTGCATCTACATTTTACAAAAAATTTTCAGTTTGGTATTTTTTATTCTGTTTATAACAAGATAATAACTAAATTTACAAAAGATTATTCCCTGTAGCACATTATTTGCTCACATGCACAATATCACAGCCTAAAATCAAAGGACAGAATTATTCTGCAAAAAATATATACCTTTAGCCTGGCAAAATGAGATTTGAACCGTTCGTATACTTTCAATTTTCCTGCCACTCTTAATACATGTATGTGATGTGACACGCTGCACCTGCCACTTCAGAATGAAAACTAAATGCATCTGAAAATGCCAGCAGTTTGCCAAATGCCTCGACCGGGAAGAATCCATTATGGCAAGTATGGTTAAAATTGGAACAAGTAATTCACTGTTGGCAAAAGTGAAAGAGAGTCGTGACTTTCATCAATAACCATCACTTTATGGGTATAATTTAGCAATCTCATCTGTTAGCCAGAACACTCGGCAATTTATTTGTTAATTTGCAGTCCAATCAATTTGGGCAAAACAGGATGGGGCACGTATATACTGGAAAAAAACTATACGTCAGCATAAATTTCTTTATCGTTCAATTTTAATAAATGTATTAGCAAATAGCAATGGTATCCGATCTTGTAAGTGAAGATTCAGGATTGAATAACATGTATGAGAGCTTTGTGTTTCTTTAATACAGCACATCCTAATGCCAGCCCCCTTCACCCCGTCAGGTTCTCTATCGTCTCATCATTTTGTAACCCTATAATTTCAATATCATCTGCATGATTCATTGTGATTCACAAGGTTCCTTCTACTTCCCTCCACTAACAGTGTTTTGGAAAAAAAAAATTGAGCACAGCTGTTAACAATTATAGTAAAGCACATCTTTTCTTTGTGTAAATAATTGGTTATAATTCCTTGGTGAGCCATTTCTTAATGTATTTAATAGATAGTTACTCGCAGTGTAGGTTTAAATCTGACAACATTGTATAAATATGACCCTGTATTAAGAACTGCTTATTATCTATGAAGTTAAATTAAAGAAAAAATGAAAAATTACACCGCGATTTCGCACTTGTTTCTTGCTAATAAACTCACTTGTTTCAGCCATAAATGTCAGAGCAATAGTAGCCGTGCTTTTTGTATTCAAGTTGGCTTGGGAGAGATTTTGCCTCAGTGCCTATAATCAAGATGAAGGTGTTGATATTTAATGGCCTTTTGTTTTGTTTATATTTCCAGCAAAGGAAACAGAATTTAATGTATCTGTGTGTGACTGCATACAAGTTACAGCATGCAAGGCCTTGGGCAAGACAGCCGTCTAAACAATTACACGTTTACACCCCCCCTGCACCCTACCAAATGATTCACAATCGCGATAAAGCATGAGGAGTGCTAGGATAACAGCTCTTAGTCAGCGAGAGTCACATTGGGCTGATGGGTTGTTGACCTCCAGAGCTGTGCAACATGAATTGACACTCCTTTCCCCCATGGCTGACAATGAGAAGTGGAAAGATAATGTGACCGGATCCTCGAAAATGAAATTGGGCAGATGAATATTAGCAAGAATACATGCTATGCCCCCCCCCAAAAAAAATTAGCCCTTAAAATAAATCCTTATCCTCCCACACCCTATTTCTATTGATTTACACTGTGAAAGATTCCTTTGAAAGCCTTTTAACTTATAAATGGATCTGGTGCCATCTGACTGACTTCATTAGGTTGGGTCACATATGTCGATTAAGATTGAGTAACCCCAAATCAGAATCCAATACAGGAGATTCAAACTCAAAAGCATGACTTGTTTTAATGAGCTGATTCACTGACGTCACGGATTCGATTCCAGGTAGTACACAGCAGTTTGAAAGTCAGACTGCCTCCAACATGAGTTCAAACTGATTGTCTAGATCTTCCGTGCAGTAAATCCTACATTATGACTGCATATATTTTACATGCATTTATGAACTCGCGCAAGCAGGAAATTTATCACTACAGTTAGTTTAATGGTATATCATACTGAGATTTTTCCATCAGGGAAAATTTTTTTGCCTCAACATTTATTTCCATATTGACATGAGGTCAATAAGGGAAAGAATTTGACCACAAGAGTGAAAATTATATAAGACCATAAGGCAATGAAAAAAGGAACAAATACGGAAGCACGTTCAGAAGACAAAGTCTTATACAGGAATGCCTTATTAAGACAAGAAAAAAGAACCAGACAAGGAAGACTGACAACAGATTGTACATGAAAGAAAGACAACTGCAGTACAATACAGTCAAAACAAAACAAGGTCAAAAACAAAACAAGATGAACCAACAGACTGAGATGTAACAAAAACTGGAATTACCAAACACTCAAAACATTAGAACAAAAGGAAGATTAGAATGATAAAAGAGAAGGAACTACCTCAGATAATCAGAGACTAGGTGTTGTAACACTGCACAGAGACTCCACTTTTCATTGAAATCCAAAACGATTCAGAAGTGTCAGAGTCACCACGCCTATTTTATGTCTAAGAACTTCATTTCATTTAAAATGAGAACTTGTGGAAGGGAACTTAATGCACTCCTATCCTTGAAATTAAGGATGAATAATAACCATGCCACATATGATTCATAACCTAAATCAAACATGTATACACATCTATGGGATAAAAATATAGGATAAATAAAAAATACTGTTTGCTTGTAATATGAGTACATCATGTACACCGGCTAGAAGTGCAGCAGGCCGCATCACCTAACATCCACAAAGGCTTTGGGAAACTTGCCCGTCTTGCCTTTGAGTCGACCTTTAATCCAATCAGCACTGATGTGTTCCAGGATTTCGATGACATCACCGTTCTGAGAAAAAAAAGGGACCAAATGGATTCTAAAATGTAGAACTGCATGTAGGAATGCCTTTGATTTCCTTTAAAAGGCCTCACTTGTTTCACAGTTTCCATCTGATCACACTAAAGCTCTTCAATAAACCACACCGATTTAAATCTGTCAGTTTTCTTTCTGTGGTTACAGGAAACATGCAATGGATATTCAGCTCAACTTGTTTAATATACTAGGTGTAAGTGAGAAGAAGATGTTAGTTTTTCCAGTCTCAAAAAAAGCCTTTCATCAGTACTTTTCTATAGAGGGCACTATTTTCCACTCGACAATTAAGGCACTCCTCGTCAACTGACCACAAGAAACAATTTGAAAAAAATTATTAGCCATGACTATATTCTGAACAAGTTGTTTACACGATAAGCACGTAAAGAGTGGAAAAACATACTCTAGGAAAATGTAGCAAAGTGGTAATATATTTGTACACATAGTCACAGAGACTCAACTGTTCTGCCTTGAGTGACATCATGCTTTGGCATATGAATATGGAAATTTTATTAGCATAAAAATCAAAAACATTGAAGCTTTACCCTTTTACTGCTACACAGGAGGTAAAAAAACATTGCACGAGAGCTTTCTAGTTCTACATGTACTTAAGTCACTTACTGCATGTCTCCTTGAAGATCTTAATCACCTTATTAGAATCATGTTACAGTACCTACTTTTCTTTACTAGAAAGTTTAACATGAACACATTCGAATCTGTCAAAACGTTAGCACTGACTCATCTTTGGTTCTGCAAAATTAACAAAAACTGAGGAAATTAAAAAAAGCTTTTAGATATGTTTAACACAAAGTCTAATTACATACCAGTGTTGAAACAAATTCCACAATGACTAGGTTACAGAAAGTCAAGTGTCACCATGACAGAGATGCACTACAAGCAAGCCTGATAGGCTGCTGCTGAAAAGCCCCATCAAAACAAAGTGACAAGTGCCAATGACAAGTCCTCACTGCAAACGTCCTGTGCAATCTCCTCTCACAATAAACAGGATTTAAAATTACTAGAGAGGTGCATCCCTTATTCTCATTAGCTTTCCCAACAGAAAAAGATTTTTTTTTCAATTGATACTTATTACCTCTCCCAACTTTTTCTCCAATTGCAATTGTTACTTCAATTGGCTTTCAGCCTTGTGAGTGGCAACTTCTCTGAAAGAATATCAATTTCCTTCCACAGGCATAAAACTGAGAGGCCGGGGAAAGCGGAATTCCAAACTGCACACAACTTTGTAACTGTGTTTGCAATGGCATATCCTGGTCTTGGATCGGGAAGTGGTGCCAAATATAAAATTTTTCTCAAAATGAACGTCCATTTTTTTATCCAAAAAGAATCCACATGACCCTCCCCCACAGCACAACAAAGCAGCAAATACACTACGGTGTCTGAGTGTTTTTTTCCAATTTGCAACAGGAAGAAAAAAAAAAGAAGAGGCACCAACAATGACCGATGATTATCTTACCTTGATTGTCAGCTCGTCAGGTTCCTCTGCATTGAAGTCATACATGGCCTTGCAAGTGCCCAAGCTGGGCCCTCCACTGGATGCACCACCTGGGGGAATTGATTACGAGAGAAAGTCATTAAGGACAGATGGTGTCATACCAGCAACACAAGGTTAGTTGAATATTTTACGTCCAATCTGTTCTAGGAATGGTTTAAGGCTATTCCATTTAGAGACCTTAAGAAGTCAAGCAATAGACTGTTATTGTGTTGAGCAGTAGTGAAGGGGGTTATGAAAAGTTTTCCACCCCAACAGCTGCTGATTTAATGCTGAAATATGTGTGATAAATTGGTTTACAATATGCACCTGCGGATTTAAAGGGGGGCACTGGGTGTGGCTCCCCTTATATTTTCACCGACTGAATCCCCCCCCAAAATTGCACACCACGTAAACCTGTGCCACAGCATGATGTAGACACATGCACCTACCACAATGCGAGCAGTGGCATTGAGTACACGTGCCGCGATACGCAGACCTCATGATTTTAAGACGTATAGACAGCTGTGTTTGCCAGCTGGTGCATAAACCTGCGCCAGCCCTGTTGCTGTTGTAAATGCTACGCTCTCTGCTCACCTCTTTAGCGTTCTGCATTCTACAATCCCGGCGTGTTGAAAGGCAACACATACCTACACAAACAGGGGCCAAGGTTGCATTGAAAGTTCCCGTATGTTCACATTTCGCTCGTCGCCCGAACAAGGCACTGGGAAGGGCTGATTGTGATTGGCTTTATTGTGCACGACCTGTGGCCACAAGGTTAGCACTTCCTGTGAGCAAGCATTGTTTGAATTTTTTGGTTCGCCAATGGCAATGCTTTGACACGGGCAAAGTCTCGGCTATAGAAAAAGCATGCTCTTGGTACAATCATAATGTGGTAATTTATCTTCTCACTAAATGTATTTTTGCCAACCTGACATGTTTTCACAAGGGAAGACATACACTTTCAACTGAGACTGATTTGCTGATATATCCTGTCAAAAACATGCAGTCCAAGAGCTCTCATCATGGAGTAGAACAGCCATAATGCCTTTAGTGTAAATTAGAGATCTACGTGTGTATTTCAGATCTCAATTTGCAAAGCTTCACATTTTATATTTTCCGTCTTTAGTGGCCAGGAACATGGAACAGTCAAATACACCACCCACTAATGAGCCAATCAGGAATACATACATAAAGAGAAGATGAAAGGGGCACAAGAGGCCAGACTATATATGTACGTGTATAACCAGAGCTAGAGAAACTATAACAGAATACAACCTAAAGGGAAAGTTCACGGAACTGTAAACTTTAAAGGCACTAAGAACATTGAGAGAGAATGCATTGAATTGAACATATCACCGCTCTCATCAGCAACCAAGCAGATTTTCTTTATGACCCCTCTGTAATTCTCGAGAAAGAACAAATACTTGACACGTCATCAATTATTATTGTAGACGCTATGAATTTGACAACCATGTCCAAAGAGGCTAAAGCTGATGTTCTCACCCGCCAGAGAGTTAATCCCCTAGATGAAGTGGGACCACATCAGCAGTTTAGAATGGGCCCGGATATTAGATGAATTGTGAGTAAAGACCGAGGAAAATGGAGTATCCCCAACTCGGTTACTCGGTTTTCTGTTATGTAAAGAGAACTATGTTAGCAATAGGAAAATTGTTGTTGGTATGAGGATGTTTAAGGGATCCTCGATTGTCAAAGAGATGTCTGAAGACAAAGAACTCTATTTTCTCTCATCATACAATTTAGGGAGAACTGCCTACACCAATCTCAGACGGGCCTCAGAAGAGCTACCTGTTTATTGAAAACTGACAGAGGAAAAATGCTCTATAATACCTGAACTGAGTTACTACAGTTTAGGAGATTATGAAGGTATTACGGCCTCTCTTAAGCAATCTTGCAGTAATTATATGACCAGAATGATTGGGGCTCAACCTGACACCCCACCGGGATACTACAAAGTAATCTGCAAAGATGGACTAGATGGATCCGGGCGTCATGCTGTTTGCCATCAGATGGGTTAAGCTCAGATGTACAATATGACATTGTATATACATGTATGTGGACACCACTTAAGATCATCAAAGATGATGATACTTCTGCAGGAACATCGTCATATGCATTAATTTTTTGTTTGAATAAACATCAATTCTGTGATCAGAATAAATAAATTTAATTGTTTGATTATTTTTTTCATTCAAGACTGAATGAAGATTAGTTGGTTTTAAAATTTTATTTCTCAAGCAGGGTTGGCAGCATGGTGATAGAATTATATCCAAATAATCCGAACGCTACTGTGCCTTTTTTCATCATCAAGGGCAAAGAAGATTGACAATTCCTCGGATCTGTTATTCCTTCCATAAGAGCAGGAAAGTGGATTTTGTCTTCTAATGGTATTGAAATCACAGTCTCTGAATAGCACAAAACTTCTTGTTCAGTCTAATCTCACTGAAGTTGATGGCAAGATGATCAAACTGCTGACAGGGAGAGGAGGGACTTATTGCATCCTTTGTCCTGCATCCAGAGAAGAAAGCCATTATCTGGAGTGCACTGATGAAGGCTTCCTCATAAGTAAATAACGAAGCTCTAAGGAATCTCTTCCAAGGTCTACAAGACAAAGAGCAAGTCAAGACCAAGCCTGGAGATTATGAGAAGCGATTAGGACTCACTCAAGAGCCCATCACAATGTATGATATCACTGTCTTCCCTGTACTACACCCAACTCTTTGAGCTAGTGCCGTGTATTGGATTTTGAAAATCACGTACCACTTTGCTGCTGGAATAAGAATCTGGAAGGAAAACTTCAGAAACGAGGGGAAGATTAAGAAGGGTAAAGAAAGGTTCAGTCTTACTTATATGAAAAACAGGCATACAGATTGACGAACTGGATCCAGTGGGCAACAGTGGTATATCAATCACTGGCCCAATTTTCAAGCGCTTACTTCATGAGAATGAAAAACGTCAAACCCTGGTGGAATGTGTACCTGACAGAGGTGAGGACAGATCACAACTCTCTCAGATCATTGCAAATGTATCAACTATTCTCCTTCTGGTACCGGTATCATCCACAGTATTTGTCAGTCCTGACAAATAGATGGACTTTGCAAAGACAAAGACAGGATGTTTCTTGAGCACTTTCCAAACTTCAGGTTCACATGCTCCATTTGCCAGATTCTTGTCCACAGTGCTGAGTTGATCTCGGCAATAAAAGCCATGGCCTGGGAACACTTTGAGAAGAGGCTCTCGAAAACAGCAACAAAACCATTTGCAAATACAGGGAGCAGCTCTCCAGGAAAACTAACCAAGAGGGCAATCTAAGTGAAGTATTTAACCATCATTGGTTAAAAACAGATCCATTACTCCATAAGTTTTGCCATGTGGACACGTGTTCCTACTGTGACGGTGACCACCATGTGCATTTTTGTCCCAACAAGAAAGGAGATTTTGGCACATTGACCAATGACAATGAGCTACATGTATATAATTACTTCCTTCAATAAGTCACAAGCAGTTCCAGTAGGTATTCCATTCACTTCATGAAGACGTAAAATCAACTAGAAAACTGTATACTCAACAAGTTATTTCAGTATTTGTTTGAATGGTTTTTGCATAGGGGTTCAAAACCGACACACAAAAAACAATAAAAAAAATAATCACTCTTGAAACTTGTATTTCCAAATTAGTGTAATCTGAACTCAATCTTAACTTAATCTTAATTTAACTCAAACTTAACAAATCAACAAGAAAGAGTGTGTTAATACGGTGCTGGTACAGCGGCATGAATGTGTACAAACATTAAAGGGGATGGGCTTTGCTGGAAAGATTTCTTGTAAAACATGCATCAACACATAAAACAAACATATATTTAAACAGAAAACACGTGCATAATTTCAAAATGCGTGGAAATACGTTACAAATTATAGTTTTTACGACCCTGTTTCACTCCCTTCTGGGAGCAAAAGCTAAACAACATCTGTCAGGTACTGAAAGTTGTCTGAAGAAATTTCCAAGAATCGTGACGTCATAGGACGGAGTCCTCTATCCGACGACTGTTCACTGTTCCGCAACGACATGTGCGTAATGCGGTAGCATTAGCATGTGCCATGATGCCAGACTCAAGCGACGGTAATTCCAGCATTGATGCTTTTTCCGATCATGACGGTGATCATTTGTCATCTTGGTCTTATTCATTTGATGAAGAAAGCGACATTGAAGGAGCTGATGAGGCACAAGACATATTGCCTTATCAGTTCGAACCAGAATATACTCTAGAACAGATTTTGCAACTCGAGGCTGTTGGGTACAGGCATGGCGGCGACCCGGAGGATCGACCACAAAACACTGACTAATTTTGGATTTTGCCCTGCCCGACGTGTATTACAACACTGTATACTCAGTGTTTGCCCCTGAAGGCTTGTGAGAAAACCCATGACTCGAACCCACGACCTCCTGCTTACTAGTGCAGACAGCTTAACAACTCGACCACCGAGCTTGCTGGTGTCGGCTGGCTGGTTCGAGTCAGATGCAGCAGCGGATACTGCAAACAACTATTTCAAAGCTCGGTGGTCCCCAGCGCAAATCTATCCTTGGAAAATCACTGACTAGTAAGGATTTTTTCCTGCACCATTACAAAAATTTGTCTCTCTGAAAAGTCACAATTGTCCTGCATTGGCTATTCGATAGCTGTATTCGCTGATGTTTGTTACATATCAACTTTCTTGCCAAAACTATGCATTCTTGTCTGGAGAGCTGAGTCCGTTCAACAACGTCACATTTTTAGTCACAAGACGTCACAAGATTAGTCTGCTGCCCTCATTGACCTATTTCAATAAATTTTTGTGAAGAGCCCAGGCGGAGACTCAAAAAATCACACAGAAAACACTACGTCTTGCTGATTTAATGACATAAAAAAGGGATTAATCCAACTGTTTGTTTATAAGACGGTTAAAAACTATCATATAACATCAATTGAACCCTACATGGCCCATCCCCTTTTATACAGATATCGTCAGAAGAGGGCACTGTGCATAAGTAGCACCCTCTTCCAGATTTTGCTCTTTTTTCAACCACCTCGGTGAGTTCTGCTGTTTAGATGATTTTCAACATACTTGTACTTTGAGATGATATTCAAAAATGCCTGCATTGTTTGGGAATGTTTACCCTTTATTGTCCTGGTATCTACTGATGTCTGCGTCAAATCTGCTTTCAAACCACTGTGATTGAGTACAGTATTTCCTTTGATATGCTATACTGTACAGTTTGGATTGTTTTCATGTACATGTACATGTGTATTGTACTGTTCAGTACCACATGACATTCATAATGAGAAGGAAAGCGTACAATTTGATACAAAATAGAATGAATTTTGAAACGTTTGCGTAACACCTCCATTTATACACAAGCATATGAAAAATTTCAGTTTCTGGATGACCTTTAACCCCTAACCCCCTAGGGACCACTGAAATCTTGCATAACCTTGTTGGGTTCAGCATCGTTAGAGTTAAAAGACTTGATTGCCAAGTAACACAAAAACACTTTGTCTGATTTTTGCAAATTTGGTATCAAAAGTTGTGCAAGAATCCAAAAAAAAAAGTCATGGAAGGACAGTTTGACATTTGCAGTGGCTTGGGAGCAGCGGCAGAATTTCCACAGGTGTGTTAAACTGACCCAATGTTTCAAGGTAAAGCAGCATTTTTCTTGGAAGGACATGTAGCTGTTACAAATGGGTTTTGTTGAGGCAGCTGTAGTGGTTCCTTGCTGGAATGTTAAAAGTAGATCTCTACTTTTACTGTATTAAAAATTGGATCAACTTGAACTGCTGCCGTCTCTCCATGACGAACCAGACATTACATGGCTCTCAAGTGGAAACATATCACAGTACATGTACATGTAGTGATCTACACTACACTTGGGTTGTTATCCAGATGCTGTGTTCACATCCATTTGAGTGCCCATTAATCAAATGTTTGTTAAACATGCTTCAGGGAAGGGAATGGCTTTGTGTCTCACATCCCACAGTGTTTAGAAAGTGATGGGTGAGTTCAGTAGAACAGGAAATTAAATCGTTTTTGCTCTGCACTTGTGTGAAGCAGTATATGTAGCCTCCCCATAGCATTCTGTAATCCACGTGACCTCCTTAGAATGAACACCCAAAATGTGGCATAATGTGACTTTTTCCCCTCGAAACATTTCTTGAGCAGCCTTGCCAACCATCTCTGAGCATCAACCCCCAAAGTTACGTTTCATTTAAATCATGACAAGTATTTTTACAAGTCCAGAAATTCAATGAGAAAATCAATCCCAAAGTTAATATGTACATTGTTTCAATTTGTTATAAGATTTTATATCATCTACAACTACATGTATAATTGATTTCGCATTATTCACTTACTTCACATTCCTCACTTCTTTTTTTTTTTGTAAGAAAATCATTTCTCATGTTTGGTCACACTCTCCAAGGGGTTTTCAGCACACTTCACTATACAATCATAACATAAAAAATAAAATAAACATTTGATCTGAACATCTAAGCAGTTCACTAAATTCAGAGTTTTTCATGAGTAGGGATATTGAAACCCACTGAAATCACACTTCATGCACATTTGGGGATAAACTCAAATGTCATCAACGTGCTAGAGAAAAGTATAGTATGCTAAGATGTTCCCCGAATAATCCTATGTTTGTCTCAGGTACAGTGGATTATAATGGGGACATAGATGGAAGGACTCTCACCTTTGCCAACAATTTCCACAAACGTCTTTGGGAAGATGCCTTCTTTTGAGCCACTGCGTCCTCGCAGCCAGTCCTCTCCTACATACTCAAGCAGAGTGACTCGATTGCCGACCTTCAGCGCTAGCTCCCCTTCGCCTGCCGGCTCAAAGTCAAACTTGACGACGCACTCTCCAATCTTCAGGGAATACAAAGTGAACATATTAAAACATTTCAATTTTGGGCAGAATGCTGAGCATAACGGGTGAGACAATGGATAATTTTTCAGGCCATTTACTGAATGTGTGATTCAGGAAAAATTAGAGTAATTCATATCTACAAAGACAAGTATCGAGCTTGTCAAGAGGCATGCCAAGATCCTTATTTCTCATTCTATATTACAATCCAGTATAAATCTAAAGGCTGTTTTACACTTGACCCTACATTAATAACTGATGACAGTTTCAATATACTGTTTGTCGAAAAAGCTAAAATAAAAATATTCTCATCTTCCTACTAGCCTGGGTCTTACCTCTGCGGGACTGTCAGCTACACTGAAGGACGGCAGGTTGGCTGGGATGTGATCCACAAAGGCTGAGGGTAAGTTTCCCTGGACACCGCTGCGCAGCTCACCATGAAGCCACTCTGAGTTGACCTGGCTCAGGATCCTAATCTTGTCACCAGCCTATAATGAAAAAATTGCCTTTTTTTAATATCTATCCTAAGCCTCCAAAATGGTGCACAAAATGTCACAACTGTTTTATAAAGTTACCCTTCTTCAAAAATCTTGCAGAAGTTGTTTAAAGGTTGGCAGTGCAATAGATTACTCTGCACAGTTCCATGTGCCATATAAAGGCGAATCTCCCTTTTTGTTCAAGTCTTGTTACTGGAGAACATGTCTCTGCGACCACTTTTATTTTGCATAGTCGACTGCACATCTAGACTAACCATACACTGTTACTAGAGGAGTGCATGTATACTTGCCCCTTTCAGAAATATTCTATTTCTATAACTTAATTTTGTAGTGGCAAGTGGGTTAAGGTTCAAGCTTTCACGTCAGTTTCTTACAACACTGGAACATACGTAGAAATTGGAATGCACATACCCTGAAGCTAATTTCATTACTCTCGGCAGCATCAAAGTCAAACATTGCCTTGACCACATTACCTGCAAGGAGGGACGTGTCAATGGCATTAGGAAATTAGAATGCTGATGCAATCACCAATTACTCCCATTTCCGCAATGTAGTATACCTTGGCTGTTGACATGTATATGCCATGTACAGTTTCTGGTTTGTTGTGCATGTATTTGACATACATGTCCTTCATGGCTCCAATTTTTACCTTCTACATCTGCTTCATGTTGACATACTAGCTAAATGTTTATCCCCTGTGTGACAGTTTTGCAAAATATTATACACACTCTATTCTTTAACAGCACTGGAAGCATAATTACAAACTACATATAGGCAAGACAAAAATGCAACTATCTACGGAGCTCAAGGGTAATTAGCTCAAGGGTAATTAGGGGTCCAAAAGTGTGATCTTTGTTATTTGACATGAAAATATCACCGGAATGAATTTCAAACATTACTATTTGTTTGGCAGATAATTTGCATTAATTCATCACTCTTGTAAATTAAAAAATGTGTTCTGAACTTACAAAATCATAAGTCAGATGTGACAGGGACACAATAAAAATGGACCCCTAATTTCTGGAATTACTCTCAACGAAATGACACAGTGTATTGCCATACTGGAAATTGCTTTGTCATGGGTCTAGAGCAGCAATATGATTTGCACTTACAAATAGCAATGCATTTAAGCAGGTGGTAATGATGTCCCTTAGGTGGGAATACACAACGTGCACAAACTGGTTAATACACATCTGGCACAGGCTATGCTTATGAGACCAATTTCTGTGTGTGAGCCACATATGTGCTTGAGCAAAGGGGAAAAAAATCCATCAGACAAGATCATTTCATGTACATATATGCATTTGTAGGCCACATGCACCCAGCAACAGGGCACTGAAATTACTCAATCCCAAGACCTCAGAACTTCACATGCATTGCTGTGTATATGCAGCAATATGAACGCAACTTCACCAATTCAGTTTTCTTTTGGAATTAGTTCTTATCTTTTGTAATCAGTAATATGACACAACCAACAAGGTGTAAAAAAATCCATGTCCCACATCATGGCAGACATCAAATATTCACTTTACCCGAGTTGCCATTCATTACAGTTGGTGATTTCTTAGCAGCTGTAGGCAGAGGCTCAAGGACTTCCACAAAGGATTCTGGGAAGATTCCTGTCTTGCCTCGCAGTTGACCCTTCAGCCACTGTGAGCCGACATCCTCCATCAGCTGGATCAAATCTCCCTCCTTGAAGGTCAGATCATTAGGATTGGTGCTGTCATAGTCAAATTTGGCTTTGCATCTCGGCCCGCTGTGGGCAGAAGTTGAAACCAATGAGTTTTAAAACTTGATATTGTATTATATTTTAAACTCCAGGCAGTACAAAAACATCACAAGTTCAAACAAGTTCCGATAAACAGTGACTGTAGCATACAGGTTTTGACATTAAGCAGAATCGGTTTAAATATACAGCAACCCTTACATGAATATTATAAGGAGAGGACCAAGAGGTAACAAAAACATGAGTAGGAAAAAAGAAAAGTGAATAACAGTACTCCTTACCTTACATTGCTGCTGCTTGAGGTAACCGATTTCACTGGAAGATCCTCCTGTACATGCAATGTAAAATTTAATACTGTATACATGACAAAACGTTTTAATGAAATGTCGGGGTAAATGATTTTAGTAAGATTAGAGAAAACTGCCAACCCATAACTATCTGGTCTCTACATTGAGGTTACGTCATCAGATACATGTAAGTGCATGGATGGGTGAAGATTGCTTTGTGATTGATGATACCTCATGGAGGTAGCATGTACGTGCACATATGTGTCTCTAATAGTGACAAGCCATGGTATAATATACGTAACACGTCCTTGGGAAAAATTGATAAGCAAATACCCACAATAATTTTGACATGATTGGCTGGGAAGATGCCAGTGCGTCCCTTGCACTGTCCCCGGTACCACTGGTCCCCAACTCTGTCCAACAGCACAATGCTGTCCCCTTCTTTGAAGGTCAACTCATCTGACGCGGTGCCATCAAAGCAGTACACAGCAACAGCAGATGGCTCGCTGGTATTTGGCTGTAGGAAGAGTTGCAGGATGAAAGAGTATTATATGGTTAAATAATGACAATTTCAGTTGTGTCTAACCTTCACAATCTGGGCACGAGTTGTGACTACTTGTCTTACTAAATACTCCTGTGGAAAAGACCCAAAATAGCCTCAACTTCACTTTCCATATTTTGGTTTGAGGAATTAGTCAGTATTAACTAACACATTTATTTAAAATCTAATTTCTGAACATTCTTTTAAGCAACCTTCCTAAGTCCTTGTTAATCCTTCACTGCAAGAGTACAATGGCACTTTTTAAAAACTTTATGGAGCATCAGGCTCCACTTACAGCAGTAGAACACTAACCCTACTATCTGTAACCCAGCAACATCATCCACACCCTCCTAGTGGATTTTGAGAAATCCCTAGGGCTTGAGGTTCATCGACCACAATGCAGTAGCAAAATCTATTTGAAAAAGGCATTCAGACTGTTTTAAATCTACATAACTGAAATTTTGTTGCTGTGGTTCCTACCTTGCTGTTTGTCTGTGGAATGTCCTTAACAATCTTCAGAAAGGCTGCCGGAAGGAGACCTTCTGCATTGCCACAGCGGCCTCTCAGCCAATCAGCATCGATGCGTTGCAATAGAATGATGACGTCATCGGCCTGCAACAACAATCACAGCAGGTATTTACATGAGATAGTTCTTACAGGCTAATTTGGCAACCCCTATGCAAATGTATGGCTGAGATGGTACATCATGCAGGTCGCAGATGCACTTATGCTTTTTATTCTTTTATCAAGAGTGGCCAAAATAAAGGTGCTCCTGAAATGGAAGAATGCATGCAGCCTCAGCTTGCAGATTTACGACTTCAATTATGTCCTGTGATTTCCTTTGCCACATGAGCTGACACTGACTAGCAGTCACAAAAGCCATTTAACTATGCAGAACATATGGCACCTTTTTTTGTTGGGTGACAGTTCAAGCCCTGCTTCCTTTCGATAGTGAGCATCAAACTGGATGCCATCCAAAGTACTTCTTTTATGTTGGACAGGAAACACAATTGCTGGCTATATTTCATGCAACCCAGCATGCAGTGTATGATATTTCCTAGTGTTAACAAGGATAGCACTCCTGCATTGAACCTAAAACATGATTGGGATTGCTTTCCTGTGGAAGGGGTCTAGCTAAATGATATTTTTTTCCAATTGTGCTTTCACTATTTAACATTTAAGTTATTTTTATATACTGCATGTATGTACAATGGCTCTGACCACTGTCACCTAACTTAACTTTGTATTGCTTTTTTACTGCACGACTACTACAAGACCACTTTAAAAAGTAGAACTTTCTATTAAATACATTTTCAATTGCTCGTTGTGGAAGATTTACAATGATACAACATGCATTAGACTTTAGGCAGTTAGGGGTTACAATCCATAACTGTAACTGTAATGATCTAAAGTGTAAAATTTCAGAAGTGTTCCACAAAACTGGTTTGGAATACTTTGAATTTTCTTCCTTTTGGCTACTTAACTGCTCTCACAAATTGTGCCACTGTTTCATTTTCAAACGGTAAGACTGAAGAGGAGTTGCTGTTGCCTTGTTCTTTTTACAATGGCCATCACTTTGAGACCAGATCTAGAAATTCACTTAACCCAAAGTACATTTATTGTTGGCCAGTGTTTAACATTATAACTTTTCAACAGTCGGTATCTAGGATTTGAGGTGTTCAACAGCTGTGACAACTCCTACCTTGAAGCCAAGTTCATCAGGCTGGATTGGCTTGTAATCATACAATGCAATCCCATGAGGCTCCGAAACCTTGATGGAAAGTGTAAACAGAAAAAGCGACCTGAAAAAAGTCCTTTCCCTCCACAAGACACTGAATTATTTTCATGCGATCTAATGCAAACAGGCATCGGTATGTACATTTCAGCTGTGCTCTTCACTTAGATTGTACCTCTGGGATGATAAAGCCTTCTTGGAAAGCCAGCATGGCACAGGTTGATAGGTTGTTTAACTGTATAAGCAGTGTTTATCTGAGCCAAGTTGTGATACAGTAACTTCAAGTGTGTTTAAGCTTGTGGAAAGGTACACCATACAATATCTTCTAACATCCCCATCATTGCATATACAAGTAATAGGACTGCATTTTTATCAAAGTGGTGGTGCAACACTTAAAAACCTTAAACCCAAGGGTGTATGTAAAAATCATACTGAAATTGGAGGATTTGGGACTGTTAGGGTTGAAATGGACTGTTTAATGCAGATTGTGAACCATTCAACCATGGTTGCACTACTTTGACTTCAGAGTGATGTCACAATTTCTGCAGCATATTCTTTTCTTACTGAGTGCGCTCTGATGGTAATCTTGCTCACCATGTACTTGTTGTAGAGTGGATGGCCAGGCCCTGGCCTGGGTGGCAGCGACTCGGACTGCGAGGACTTCTGTGGAGTTGTACCCTCTGGCCTGAGTGGAGCCCGTCGCTTGGGCTTTAGGTTGGCTGATGAGGCCGACTTTGGCTGGCTGCTTGGGGCATTGGGCCGGGGTGGGGCGCTACCTTTTGATCTACCCTGAGGTCCACTGGTAGGCTATTCAGGATAAACAATGTAAAACCTGCATTCACACTTGCTGATATTTTTTAGGATGCTGCATGTACCACAAAGGGGTTACCACAGAGTGAGTGTCTTGCAACGCATTAGGAGAAAAACGTACAAGTCCACACCATCTGGCAGTTCTTTTGAGAAAGGACTTCACAGTTTCCTCACATATTAGGAGAACATGACTTGGATCAAAATCATTTGTCAGAATGACTAAAGTGCATTTGTGTGAAGAGTGACACCAACATTTATGATAAAGGCTGTTACTGAATTCAATCCTTGTGATTTGAGCAATGGTAACACTTGTATACCATCACATGCTTAACAGCTTCCTCACTTGTCTCAAGCTTAAAAGCTTTCCCACCAACAACGATCAGTGTTGTAGTCTAGACCTCTCAAGACCATGATAAGACCAACACAAGACCATCGGAAGACCAACGTAAGTCTGAATTCAAATTACAAGCTACCCAAATGAACTGCCACAAAAGTATGACAATGTTCATCCTACACCTATTGCTTGTGACTGGTGGGGTGAAATATCTTACGTCTGTTTTGAGATGTTCTTGACCACAAGACTGATAATTATACAATGTACAAGTGTGTAACAGACCTTCTGTACTGTACACCTCAGCCAATGGTTCTGGAAAAATCATGCTTCACAGTGCATCTTTAATACAGGTGTTCACATCAGTGCGCCTCCCTGAGTTTGCAAAGTATTGGCCAATTACAATGTGCAGAATCTGTCGCCACAATGCGCATTTGAGAAAGGTCGACAGATTTCTTGTTTTGTGATTGGCCAATGCGTTACAAACTCTTGGAGGCGCACTATTGTGAAATGTCCATATTAAGTAATAAGAAAATCCGGGTCTGCTTTTTTCTGCATATATGCAATTTTCAATAAGATCTGCTAATTGCAGAATAGTTCATGTACATGTTCACATGCATGTGAGATGTAGACCACTACAGACAGTGGTCTCTATGCACCAAGTACCACTCCTATTTTAGAAACATTACGTTATAGGCGGAACTACAAAGTACCCAATAGAATCCATGTAAAGATGACGGATCTAATTTCTCTTTTGTTTCACTTTACACCACTTATAATCAACACTTTCTGTAGAGGAATCTCTCCTGCGAATTTTGAAGGCTGTTATTACATCAATCATGTTCTTTAAGCACTGTCAACTTGAAGCATTGTGAACACGTTTTTGTTTGAGCAAAGATGAATATATATGATGGATGAAAGAGAGAACATTAGCATTATTTTTCTTGTTTCGTCACAAACATTATTAATTTTGGTGATAAAAATGAGATACAACAAATGACATTCTGTTATTCTAGCCCAACCTACCCTGGGAGGTGGCACTTTGCGCTTTGTTTCAGGAGAACTGGTCCGGCTGTTTGGTTTGGAACCTGGCTTCTCAGCTCCTGGTCTGATTATTGTGGGTTTGGAGCGCTGTGCACCTGCAGTAAACGACTCTGCTGAGATCTTAAACTTTGGCACAGGAGCTGATCTGCTTTGGCCTGAAGTAGATGGCTTTGCTGCAGTTTGTGCTGGCGTCTTTGGTGGAGGCATTAATCCCACAAGACTGCCTAGACTGGGACCGCCTTGCTGCCCGGTGTTCTTGGGTCTTGCCCTGGCGGCAGAATTCGGAGCAGGCGTATTCTGTGACTGGGTCTGATTCACCTGTTTCAAGCTCGCTGAGGTGATGCTGAAGAGTGAGGAAGCTGCCTTGCGGCCTTCTTCTGATTTCGCGATGGAAAAGCCAGCCTTACCAATATTCTTTGCATCATCAGCAGTCATGTTCTTGGCAGCTGAGCTAGCTACCTGCCATTTTAGGTCGCCTGAAGAGGAATCTGATGATCTGACATCAGCAGCTGTGCTTTTTGCAATTCGAGAAAATGAGCCAACTGCCTTCTGGCCATCCTCTGACTTTCTCAGCATCTGCACCCCTCCGCTAATGTTACTCACATCGTCTGCTGTCGTGTTCTGAGCAACTGCACCAGCAAATTGCAGTGCATTAACTTCATTGCTGGATCTTGTTTTGTCTGATGCTGCTACTGCAGTGGCTTTGCTGCCAAACTTCAGGGCATCCTCTGTGCTTGCGTTCCTTGCAACAGCACCTGCAACTTTCATCTGGGCATCTGAACTGCTCTCTGGCTTGGAGTTTTTTTGGAATGTGCTGTCAAACAATGACAGGATGTCAGCCCTGGAGTATTTCTGACCTGACGCAGGAGGTACAAGAGGCATTGTGGGCTTGGGGGGTGCTGAGCCCTGTGAAAATTTGTGTGAATCTGAAGGTGCTGTGGCAACAGCTGCAGAAGTGTCCGCGTGCTGTTGCACTGGTTTGGGAGCAGCAACTGGATGAGGCAGTGACGGTCTTTCAGCTGGCTTTGGGGCACTAATAGGATGGGGTAGAGCTGGCTTGTCAGCTGGCTTCAGGGGTACCTGTGGGACTGCAGGTGCTTGGCTTGACCGTTGCACAGGCACTGGAGACTTTGATTTTACACGTACATGGAACTTACTATTCCCTTCCAGCTCAGGTGATGATGACGCAGGAAGCACGGGAATGGGCTTGACACTGTCAGCGTGTCCCCTGTCCTTGGGTGTGGCTGGCTTGGATGACTCGTCCGACACGTGATTCTGAGTCAGTGGCTTTGGGGGTCTGCTCGGGGCCGCCAGCAGAACTGCCCCCTGGGATGTGTCCTCGGTGTCTGGTCCAACTGATCGCGGCCGAGGCTTGGGAACAGGTGCCGGCTCAGCACTGGCCTGCCCTTCTGTAACAGAACTAGAGGACACCGACCCGGGATGAACGTAAGCTCCCTTGGGCCTGGTGCTGGGCAGGGGAGGGGGCACATAAGGACCTTTTGGTCGGTTGGTAGGGAGAGGTGGGGGTGCACCAGACATGGCAGTTGCACCGGTTACACCAGGAGGCTCTGAGGGTTTAATAGGCAAAGGAAAGAAACCATAAACAGAAGATATACCACGTGCCAAGTCATTAAATAAATACATAAAACACATCGCAGCAAAAAATTTTCAATCATGCAGACTACATGAATACAATTATTAAACAGAAAATTCATGCAGTTTACTTATACATGTACATTAAAAGAAAATGTTACACTGGCATATTTGACTAGGGAAGGTCAATTGAAGAAAGACAGACCTGATAGGGTATTTGCACTTTATTACTTCCTAAATTGCAATAAAAGCAACACAAAATCTAATTTACAGTATGCACACATTACATGTAGATGTTTAACCACTTAGCGCCGGGGCATAATTATCATTTTTTTCTGTTTTCAAAATTCTTCAAAAATTCATTATTTCATTTAACAGATGTTTATAGCCACACGAAGTGATCTTTAGGACTACTCTAAGTTGACAGGTGGCCTTCATTGATGCCCAAGTATTTCAGCCAGGCCTTCAGCCTTGTAAAAAGAGCCCAGATTGTGCGGTGTTTTCTAACTTTCTTTTGTTCACGAACCTGCCACAGTGTGCTGCTCACCGCTTTTCAATAGGGGCCAGATTAGTGTGCAGCGGTACTGTGTGGCTCATCGCTGCAGTGGTGGAGCGCTTTATCCCTGGTGGTAATCCGCTCGCTCTAAATGCCCCAAACCCTGGTATACGGTTTCAAAACAAGGTTGGATCATCTCCACTTTTGAAAGTGAAAAATGTCGATAATGCCCAGCAGCCTGGTCTTTTGTTCGGAGTACGGTCTTTTGTTACAGGGCCCTTTTCCCTTTGTCCGAGTTCAGAGACCCCAGCCACGCATTTAAAGCATACATCTCCGATTCTGGAGTCCCCGGCAGGAAGTGGTTAAAGCTGGCAAGCACAAGTTTTAGCTTCTGAGAAATAGCTAAAAAGTTGAAGAAAGAAACTGAATGGGGCCCGATTTGAATGTGGAACCTCCTAAACACTGCTCCTCCAACCGAGCTATTACGTGGCATGTTGGTATATTGGTCATACATGTATGTTTCAGTCTTGCCCAGTGGCACTGTTGCAGTCTCTCTTGGCAATCCCTAATTGCCCGCCACTGCTAGTATTGCTAGCATTTTAGAGCTTGAGCTTGATATATGGTCACATGGCAGATGTATAGATTTATAGCCTCTCATATGTAGGTATACATGTACCTTGGACAGAGACAAGAACTTATTAGGGGACTGTCTGCACAGGACAAGCCTGGTTTACAGATTGCTGGAACAGTGGTCCAGAGGTCTCACATTCAGATTTCTTTCCAGTCAATCCGTTATTCAAGATAACTTGATTAAAAACTGAAAGAAGTCACTTTTTCCACACTTAATTTGAGAAAATATCAGGAATCCATAAACAAAACATGAATCTAAATTACAAATCATGGCTCTGTTAAAAGCCTATGATCTAAAAGCCAGTAATCAGCCTTTTTGCATTAAGTAGTTCTTATCTTCTTCTCTACGACCTTACATGTACCTGGAGCATGTAGGTCAGATGCAACAACTGCACAAGGTGTTTGGTACGAACAGAAATAATGTTTTGTTGGGTGAATTGTTATGTCTGTCTTTTAAAAACTGGAAATGTACATGTACCTATATGCCTAGAATTTAAAAAACTGCTCATTTTTATTAGTCGGCTTTGCTATGTTAGGTGAAGTTTATGACTATTTTGTGCCAATAACATAAAAAGGAAAACCACTACACATTTAGGATATGTACCATGCTACATGTTCCATGCTAATATGGGCTTATCTAATTGCAAAGGAAATAACATGGACTATTTACCTGAACTGTGTACATTTATATGCACAATGATTTAAGAGCTGACAGGAAGAAGAAAATCTCAAGTTGAATTGGGTGACAATTCTCCCTTGTTTTCCCCATTCAATAAACAATACTTCATGACGTGTTTTGAAAGGCAAAAAAAAAGAAGCTTGATTCACTTACCTGGCTTTTTGTTGACAGCTTCAGGAGTGGGTTTGTCCACACCGCGTCTCGGTGTGGGAACTGGATAGCTTTTGGTTGCGTCTGATGGGTCCTCTGCTGCCGCAGTTGTTGGCTTGGCAACTGGTGCTCCTAAAGTGAGCTTGGAGGTGGTGGTTGAGGTTGTTTTAGCTGCAGGAGAGGGGCCAGATGGCATAGAGGTATCTTTGGAGAATCCTCCTACCTCACTGAGAGGCCTGGCAGAAACTATGGTGATTTCGGGTCTTCTGTCCATAAAACAGTCCATGGAGAACAAGAAGGAAAGTTTGATTCAAAGCATACCTTTACGCAAACAAGAAGGATAAAAAAAACAGAGCAACTTCACTTTTTTCTGAATGCTTGGAAGAAAAAGCCTGGTCATGCTCAAGTGGGATTTGAACCTACGATGTCCTCATAGGTTTTATACTATCAAAATTCACACATGCCTGACTCCAATTCAGAGTTTCATCAGATGACAAGAGACGGACGAATAGCACGTGATGACAGATGGTGTATCCCGTGGTCACATTGTCTTACTTTTTCTGTGGTTTGCCAGCAGTTGCAGGTTTGTCCTTGACACTGGGTGCCTGTGACAGTGGTAGATGTACACTGGCTGGCCGGGGGGCAGACCTGAAGTCGGAGCTACGAAAATGCACACTGGCTGGCCTTGCTGGGGCCTGGAAAGAGGGTGCTCTAGAGGGGCCTGCTAGCACATTCAATCAATCAAACAACAACAACATTTAATTAAAGATTAAATCTTGGCCATTTTAATTACATGTAGTAACACAGATTAACCAGCTTACTAGTAGTAATAGCACAGTGTTTAAACTTAACCTAAATAAATAAATAATTGAATGATGCCAACACGAAGGAAACGGTAAAGTAATGCTTTTGTACCTTTCCCATGGACAAGACACGACTCAAGACAAGTAACAGACATATGGACAGGACAATAGCAGTGAGACCCAAAGAGCGATTACATTTCAATCTCAGAATAAGATGTAAGGATTGTAAGACTGATGTAAGACTTTTGGCAAAGGAAACCACAATATTACAATCTTTACGTTTAACAGCAAGTTCATTCCAATATCTAACACCACACTGAAATGGACTGTTTCTGAAATGATGTTCTGCCTTCGCGAGACTGCAGGTACATGTACCAAAATAGTAACCTACAGAACAAACACACTCGTTAAAAGTAAATAAACATAATTACCAGTGGATGGTCGTGGTGGGCATGCCCTTTTGATCACAGCATCACTGCAGAGAAAAAAAATGTGAATAAGTTTTAGTGAGAGATTCTGAAAAACAAACCAACCCTACAACTCAAACTGAAACTAAGCACCCCCCCCCAAAAAAATTGCACACACATCATTGGCTAAAATAATTCAGGAACTTCATGCAACTTTGGGAAGATTGAAATAGTACAACACTTTCTTCACACTCCACAGTTAGAGTGTAATCATGGCATTGCCCGTGCAAACATGGAGTTTACTGCCAGTAAGATGCATGATTTAAAATTTGTTTCAAACGTAATAAAAGTAACAAAACCAAGAACAAACATGCACGACTATGAATGCTCTGGCAGCAGAGCTGTCACTGCTTTCTCTACAAAGTAAGACTTGATGAGTAATGAAACTTTTGAGGCCATGTCAGGTGACCAAATGTGCACATGATGATGTTCGGTCACAGAAGTGAGTGGCAAACAGAACAGAATGAAAGTGTCTAAACTGAGGAAGAACAAACTACGTGTGATGTTAAGTTACGTAGTACTTGTACCTGTTCTCAGCAGGCTGTGGGACTGAGTCCACACTGGAGGTGTTAGAACTCGGTTTATTGTCCTCGTCATAATTAGTGGCCCCTAAACATGCACACACACGGTTAATTTTACACAATGCTACACATGCACAAATAATAATCACGTACATTCTAGAGGAAAAAACTAAATTCCCAGCCTCCATGGTCATGCATTCTGGGGACTGATTACAGGTATACTTTTCAGAAAGTAAAATAAAAGGAAACACAAGCCTTCAACTTAATGCCTTTTTTTCCAGCAATTTTCAACAGCATTCAATGCAGATTTGTATGTCACAAAATATGAAGGGCCTGACATTTTGATGCTAGCAGAATCTTTTTCAAAGGCCTTTGAAAAAGATTCTGCTACTCGTAGGATCGAAACGTCAGGGTGTGCATATTTTGTGATTTGTACTTTGGTCACTGTGTCAGCAAGCAGTTTGCGGCAGTTTTGTATTAGGTCTACATATACATATGTTCTGGATTTGTATGTTTTATTCTTGTCCAAAAGATGATTTCTCTGTATCACATTTTCAAAGCATTATGATTCAAAAGTTCACCGGGATTACACAAGGTGTGAATGCCACTGTAAGCAAAGCCAAGCATAGTGCATGTACCGCTACATATACACTTTAAATTCTGTCACATTGTCATTTTTTACAGTCGGTGAATTACAGAATCAAGGATGACAGAATGTCTTTGCTTTGAATGGCATTCAGATACTGTACAATATTCAGCAATGCAATGGTGTTCTTCATTTGAGACAGTGTTCAGTGGTACACATACATGTATGTACATGCACATTAGTGCTTTTCAGGAAAAAACAAAAAGAAACTAAAGAAAAAAACTTCTTCTAATTACTGCAATAACCCCCACTATGGCATATTTTGGTGGCTAGCTGACTCTAATACATGTGGCTTCTTCTAATTACTGCAACAACCTCTACTATGGGATATTTTAAGTTGCAGGTGTGTGGTGGCTAGCTGACTCAAATACATGTGC